GCTGTCTCTTATTTCCTGTTTGTCCCCTTATTTAGTTTACACATTAGAAACGTCATGAACATCATCTTTAATATGTTTTAAGTAATAAACTTTAGAAAAAGAGAATACTAGTCGAGTTTGTGTAGCCGCGGGAGCAGAAAAACTCCAGAAACAGATCACAGGTAAATAGGTCTATTTACAATATACATGTAGCTTACATTATAACTTTATTTTGTACTCCAAATTGCAGTTGCTGCGTCATTGTGAGGGTTGAACCTATTTAGTATGTGCCTCTTGTGTTTCAATCCGAGGATCTTCACTGATTATGTCCTGTGTAAAGAGATTGTTTACGGAGATCGCTTACGGCTCACATTGAGCCAGTCACACCTTCAAGACTTGAACATGTACTCAATGGAGCAGAGAGAGAGATACATGATAATATATACCTGGAAAGAACTCGAGGGCCTGGTCCCCAATCTGCACACTGCCATAACAACATACCGGAGTGAATGATATGGGAGGAAGTGTAAAATAAACCCAGTGAGGAGCAGGGGTGCGGTGGGGACAATAAGGGAACACTGTATCAACATCCTGGGTCCCAGACTATTCAACATCTTATCAGAAGATATCAGAAACACGGCTGGAAGAAGTGTGGAAGCCTTCAAGAGGAAACTGGACAAGTATCATCATTGTCATGTGCCAGATCAACCAGGCTGTGATGGCTATGTGGGGCAGCGAGCCTCCAGCAGCAACATCCTGGTTGACCAGGCAAGCACTAGACGAGTCTGGCTCATGGCCGGGCTCTGAGAGTAGTGAAACTCTCGAAACTCTTCAAAGGTATATCAAGGGCAGTGTCTGTTCTATTCCCGTTTATCGATTCACTTGATTTGTGGCCAGTTGACTGAATCTGTGATATTTTGCTAGGACGACAGAGCAGGCAGATTGGACGAGAGAGTAGGTATACGAGCAAGTATCCAAGTAACGGGGTGAAGATAGTCTCGGACATAACGCTGAGAATAACAGGAAGTGTTACTTAAGTTATCTTTACATCCACCTGGCACGGCCGACAGCCAGGCTACGGCTTGTGAACGAGTCCTGGCACTCATCCTAGTAGCAGCAACAGCAGCTGATAACTGTCAAAGCAGCAGCAGCAGAAGCAACAGTAGCAACTGTGGGTCTATTTCAGTAACAACGACAGCAAGTGGAGCGCAACAGCATCAACAGATAGTTGTCGGAACATTTTTGTGTGTGTGCGTGTACATGTGTGTTTGTATTCGTGTAAGTATTGGCTAACAAGCGAGTTAGTTACCATTTTGTCATAGGCACATGTCGATTAGACACTAGGCCTGTTGTATATGCGCGCGCGCGCGTGTGTGTGCGCTTGTATGTATAAGTGTATGTGTATGTGTGTACTCGCCTATTTGTGGTTGCAGAGGTCGAGCCATAGCTCCTGGCTCCGCCTCTTCACTGATCGCTACTTGGTCTCTCTCTCTCCCTTCTCCATGAGAATTATCAAACTTCGTCTTAAAACTATGTATGGTTTCTGCCTCCACTACGTCACTTTCTAGGCTATTCCACTTCCTGACACCTCTATGACTTAAGAAATACATCCTAACATCCCTTTGACTCATGGGAGTCTTCAGCTTCCAATTGTGACCCCTTGTTTCTGTGTCCCATCTCTGGAACATCCTGTCTTTGTCCACCTTGTCTCGTGTGTGTGTGTGTGATGCATGTGCATGCTCACCTGTATATGGTTTGCAGGGATCGACTCTTAGCTCCTGGTCCCACCTTTCAACTTACCGCTTGCCAGATTCGCTCCTAACCTCGTAGGTCTTATCGTACTCATTCTTAAAACTATTTGTGACTGGAGGTTGCTGTGTTGGTGTTCCTCTGCTCTCAGCACAATATACTAACAGTTGCTTGAGACATTGATCAGTATATTGCGTGGAGGCTAGCACAGATCCATTAAATATTGAATCGCGCTGAAGGTCCGTGAGAACCATGACAGTCGAGTGATTTTAGGGAAGGGGTTATGTTAGGTTTTTGTTGCAAGGGTTGAGTTCCAGTCTCGCCTGGGTGCTAAAGGGTTTAAGATAGGATAGATGCCATTCATATTGATAGAGTTTTAAGTAATCGTTAACGATGTTTGAGTTGCGTAATTGAGTGAACACTGGATGGCAGCACAAGCTGGTAGATGTAATCAATACAGGAATTTTGATGTCAACATCACGTGTGAGCCCTAGTCCTGGCCCTCGTAGACACTACACCTGCCCAACATGCCACACCTGCACGTGCTACACCAGCTTCTACACCTACATCTCTCACACGCCACACCTGCGGGATTGGTGAACAACCCTCTGCTCTTTATTGAGGCGATATTTTCCAGTTCCCTGACAAACAAAACATATTAACCCCGAAGGAAGTAAAGAGGACTCGCTCCCACTAAAACTAGAACCATTTCATTCCACTTTTTTTTTTCAAGGCGACCTGGTTATTAGAAGCTGATCTACGATATGGTCAGTTGCCTCGCTTTGCAGATCTTGGTCTAATGTGGCTGGCTGCTTGCAAACTTATCGTCATTTTTTAATGTTCTGAAGAGTTGCAAGACTTCGTTTTTGTTTACTTTTAATGAGAGGAAGTTTGTTCTTCACTGTGTAGTAGGCTCCTCGGGGTATATACTTCTTAATTAGCCAACATCTTTCAAGACCTTCCTGCTACACACTTCGTTCAGCACAACACTTGCTGCGTCGGACAAAACTTTGTGTTGCGTTACAGTTCTTAATGCTTAGTATTAAGCGAATACAATTTTAACGTGTTTTCAAAGCACTAAATATTTTTACACCGAAATTAAATATGTTCGTAATTAAAAAAAAAAGATTAATTTAATCGTTCCTCTGCAATACAAGCATCTCTCAGATTGATTATTTTATCGTCGTTACATGGGCAGAAATTATTTACGATTTATGCTATTCCTGTGTTGTCAGCGCTCGAGGGGTAGGAAAGTGTATATATGTATCCTAACCGGTTAAATATTTGTGGACGAGGTATTTTTGCGACACCACTACGAATTATAAATGCACGAAACTAGTCTCTCCCCTCCCCCCTCCCGAGTGGAAAAGAACAACAGGCAAAGCTCTGTTATTATATGCAAAGCTTGTACTCACCTAATTGTGGTTGCAGGGGTCGAGACTCAGCTCCTGGCCCCGCCTCTTCACCGGCCGCTACTAGGTCCTCTCTCCCCTGCTCCATGAGCTTTATCATACCTCGTCTTAAAACTATGTATAGTTCCTGCCTCCACTATATCGCTTGCTTGTGTGTGTGTGTACATGTTCACCTGTTTGGTTGGAGGGGTTGAGTCACAGCTCCTGGTCCCATTTGTGTGTGATAATAGTCTCTGTTGGTTGGTTTTATCTTTGATGTGATACCAAATCTGGGTGAGTAACGGCACATTCTACACGATCAGATAAGATACCTGGCGCCGGAGGACGGTATACTGGAGATAACGGGAAATACTCGATGCTACGCATGTACATGGGAAGGTCTTGTGGCTTGTCAACACTATACAAGGGATTTTAGTGAAGTATCTTGGTGCTAGTGGGACCTGAACTGAATTTATGAAACACCTATTGCCATGGATATTAATTTGTGAATTAGTAAGAGATTTTATGGAAAAGTAAATGTGCTGGTTATATGAAGAATTAACAGTGAAGTTTAGCTGAAATGGAATTATGAGAAGCGATGCTAGTGTAAAGTAATAGCGTGTGAGTGCTCATCACAAGCGTGACAGGACAAACCATGAAACTTGATAGATACCAGTTTGACAATGGTTAATAGGATGAGAACTTGTAGTTTTATAAGCACACAAACTATGACTCAAGATAGTAGTACAGAAACACAGACATCATTGTGCAAAACAGTTGAAGTATATTACCATGGACGACAGTGCCATCGAGTTAATGTAAAGTGGAGGCTTTAAAACCACCACCACCATGCTCAAATTTATGACTGGGTTAGTAAGTCCTTGTAAATATTTAATTAAATTTTTTTTTGCCGGTAAATGAAAAATAATATTTTGACTTGCAATGTGAGAATTAATATTTTTTTTTTTTGTCGTAACTTTTCTCTTGACTAGGTAGCTGAGTGCCGGGAGCTATTGGACTGACAATTTTAGTTGTGTGTAATTTTTTTACTATAATAAATATTTGTGGAAAATAGTTATATGTCAGGTACCTGCATGCCTGCCTTATTAAATGTTCGGGAACATTTGTCTGTTCTCCGTAAATCACCAGAAGTTTGTATGTAGTTACTGCCTACCTGGAGAATATTCCGAGGATCGACACCCTCGTGACCTGGTCTCAGAGGTGGCTTCCCAGTGGATGACCTGATCAGCTAGGCTGTTGATGATAATCGCACGAAGTCCAACATAAGCACCATAGCCCGGCTGATCAGGCACTGACTTGAGAAACTTTAGAAACTTGCACATACAAAAAAAAAAAATATTCTCTCTCAGGGTCTATGTAGAGGGGGATAACCAGATTTGTTCCAAGGGAGTAATAGATCCAATTCCTTAGATCAGGAACCCTTCACTGGCACAAAGGCAATTCTCTTAAAGGGTGGACAATGGGAGATAATCAGGTTTGATTCAAGGAAGGGAGGCTCCGGTTACTTAGTCTTTCATCGACTTACACATACAGTATCCCGATAAATTTCACTTTAATATGAATAAGCTTAAAACATTTGTACACAGTAGGCTCTTATACAGAGCTCCATCATATCGCGTGATTATTTGTAAATGTGATTTAAAAGGTCATCACAAATTGAATAAGGTGATATTATGAAGACCTTTCCACGTCCTATTGAACTTCGAAAATAATTTTTCAGTCGCATTAAAAAAAAAAACACTATAGAGGAGCTTTGTGTATACAAATTGTCAGGAAATTATTAATCATGAAGAGATCATTGTGTATATCCAGAATTGCTAATTCATTTTTTCTCAGTAATTTTTATATATTTTTTTTCAGTTCTCGCAAGTCGGGAGGGAGCAGTGGTAGTGGGGAGGTGGGTCGGGGCACCCCTCACCACAAGAGCACCGGGGGCAGCACCCCCCGTCACTCTCGCAAGGGCAGGGACCCCAGCACCGTCATCTCAGCCCCAGAGATAGGCCTTGACAACATGATCAGCATGGTAGAGTTCGACCCCGGCCACCGTGAGATGGCAGTCGACGTTCCTGATTCCTTCGTTGCCCGCACCAAGACTCCCCCAAGGTCAGTATCAAGACCCCTCAAGGTCAGTATCAAGATTCTCCCTAAGGTCAGGACTAAGACACCCAAGGTCAGTATCAAGACTCCAGGGCCAGTACAAAGACCTCAAGGTCAGTATCAAGACCTTCAAGGTCAGTGCCAAGACACCTCCATGGTCAGTATTAAGATACCCAAGGTCAGTATCAAGACTTCCCAAAGGTCAGTATCCACACTATGCTCCCTATATATACTCATGTACTCGTTACCCAGATAGATCTATTTGTGACTTGATAAAGGCCACTATGGGCGAAACATAGTCAATAAAGGATTGCATTATATTGGATTTGTATCTATTTTTCCACGTTAAGAACTGTTGATGTACAACTACACTAAAGCAATTGTATATTGACCTTACTGTAATAGTGTTATACCCTGCATATTTTTTGTTTCTCCTTGCAGATACCCACCACCTAAGCCACAGGGTCAACCCCTGACACCAATCCACAACAACAATAACAACAGCAGTAAGAGTAGCAAGAAGGGTGGCTCATCTGGTAGTGCCACACCACAGAATGGTACACTTCCTAAGTCTACACCTCAGCGCATCCCAGACCAGCCACAGAGATCCCCTCAGCTCCCTCCCTCACAGCAAGAAGGACTTATACAGCAGCCATCCACACAGGAGGAGATGAATAGGATAAAGAAATACGAGGTACGACGTTTGTCTTAGTACCCTCTACGCTAGTTGCCAAATTTATTTCCTTTGGTGACTCCCTGTTAAAAATTCATTTGGCAGTACAATACAGGTAGACTTTACATAGCTTTCAATATGAAAAAAAAGTAAAAATCTCTGTGGCTGTCCATCTGCATCACAAACGTTAGACACGCTGTTCTTCTGCTGACTCCCCAAATGATTTTAGTCATGTACAACCTACATGTTGGTATTAGGTATAATAGGTTGGTAGACAGCAACCACCCAGGGAGGCACAGCTGTCCTGCCAAATGATTGAGAAATGGAAACCTGTAATTGTTTTTTCACAATGGTAGGATTGCTAGTGTCTTTTCTTTCTGGCTCATAAATATGCAAGATGACAGGGAATGTGCATTTTGCTACTTTTACTTACACTTAGTTCATACTATGAATGCATGTACGTGTATGCATATACACACCCATCTTAGTTTTCTTCTATTTTCTTAATGGTTCTTGTTCTTATATTATATTTTTAATCTCCATGGGAAAGTGGAGTAGAATTCTTCCTTTGTAAGCCATGCGTGATGTAAAAGACGACTAAAATGCTAGTACAGTCATACCCCGCCCTACGTTATTAATTGGTTTCAAGACCCGTGACGTAACCCGGTTTTTGACACAGACCAGACTTAATGCCTTAAAATGACAACAAATATTTTAAAACTAGCGTAAATAACTCGTGAAAGAATATAACTACAGTGGTACCTCGAGTTATGAACTTAATTCGTTCCAGAAGGCTGTTTGAGTGCCAATACCAAATGAATTTGTTCCCATAAGGAATAATGTAAATTAGATTAGTCCATTTCAGACCCATGAAAATACACTTAAAAAAGCACTTACAAAAATACACTTACATAATTGTTTGAGTTGGGAGCTGTTCGAAACTCGAGGTACCATTGTATTGCTAAACCTTAGAGAACACTAAAAACACATTTTTAGTCATATTTTTTAAAGAATAATGAACACGACTAAAAAATTATGATGTAGGTGACGTTGTTGAGTGATGTACAATCAGACGTAATTACGTTTGCTGAACTAAAATTTACTCTGGAAAAGTGGTGTAAAGGCAAATTTGACATAGGCTGAAATGACGTAAAGTGGGATATGACTGTAACACCTTCTCCTGTATTAATTACTAAATTTAAAAAGAGCACCTTAAAGTTGGGATGTTTGAATGTGTGTGGATGTAGTAGAGGTGATAAGAAAGAGTTAATTAATTGTGAATGTTATGAATGAAAAGAAGTTGGATGTCCTAGATCTAAACAAAAAACTGAAGGGGGTAGGAGATTTTCAATGGGGAGAAATATATGGAATTAGGTCAGGTGTAAAGGACACCCTACTTTGGTGGGAGACGGCCAGTGTTAAAAAAAAAAAAATCGTGACCTACAGGGAAAATTTGAACCTATTTTTCCAAGGGGATTTGAAAGGAAAAATTGTTACAGAATAGTTTGTAAGAGATAGACAAGACCAGTAATCCTGGCAGAGTGCACAACATTTAACAATCTTCCCCTTTACATTCATATTCCAGGATGGTATTATTCCACTGGGTGGTTATCTTTCAACCTTTTGCCTTTCTTCTTCTGTCCAATTGATGTTAAAGAGTTAAGTGACAACTAGCAATCCATCCAGTACCTAATGATGATACGGCATTAATATTTTTCTCCAAGCTCTAGTGGTTTTCTTTTCCCATTTGAATTTTTCTGCACCAAATTCACTTGTGTAAGGGTGGATCAGAGGTCAACAATTAAATAATTTCAAGAGGTGGCCTTCTTATGCTTAGGGCATGAATGATCAGTTTTGTACCTTCAGGTACAAAACTTCAGGCACACTGGGTACTAGTGTGTGTGCACCAGGGATGATTGTTTAAGCAAACTTACTAGGAAATACAGTAAAAACATAAATAATTGAACAAGAAGACACTGATGATAGTTACAACACAAGTTACCATATATTTTCATATTGTATTTTCCTTAAGTTTCATCACTTAGCTCATAAGGTAATTGTTATTTCAAAACATTGCTTCACTGTCAAACTAAGCTTATCTTTCTTTCACAATGTATTGATGTTTAACGTTGAAATGCACACTTGCTTTATAGGAGGAGCTAAAGGTTCGGAGGGAACGTGAAGAACATGAAGCCATGTTAAGATCATCTCTTCGATCCTCCCAGAAACTACAACAGCTTGCTAACAAGCCGGTAGCAACTGGGGTTGTAAATGAGGCATTTACAGTTGAAGAGTTGCAAGCTGGAGTGGAAGCTCAAGCGGGGGTGGAAGCTCAAGCTGGGGTGGAAGCTCAGGCTGGTGCAGACACACCAAGCAAAGTCATAGGTAAGATACCTGCCATTAATGATAAGTTTTGGGTAGAACAGTAAAATACTTTAAATTACGTACATAGGATGCTGATGTGTTCCACTGGAACAGGTTGTATAGTGAATATCATTTTCCTTTATTCCCTTTGTGAATGTGACCATTAACCCCTTGACTGTTGCAACCCCCAATCCTGAGGTCTGGTGTTGCAAAATTTAAAAAAAAAACAAACAAAAAAAAAAAATTCTTATGAAATGATAGAGAATCTTTTCCCGATTGTAATGACACCAAAAAAACGAAATTTGATGGAAAACTGACGGAATTATGCTCTCGCAAAGTTAGCGACCTCGGCGATATTTACAAATTGGCGATTTCGCCCACTTTGAGCCCTATTTTCGGCTAATTCCAATGTTGCAGTCAACCAAACTCATAGCTGTTTCTTTATCCTCCGTTTTTTCTATCAATTGAGTACAAGAAACTGCCCATTTACTGATTTGAACTACCCAATAACGTGGTCAGAAATTTGCAATTTGGCCAGTTTCACGAAAATTTTAAAAATATGACAATTTCAAAATAAGGTCCAAAATGAGCAATGCAGACATTCCTGGCTCGAAAATAACATTTTCTTTGTTCATCAGTCATGTCTCCAGGCCCCTCTGATATTACTCTTGCTTTCTATTTTGAATTTTTATTCAAACAAAAAGTAGAAGATTTACTGTTATGCAGACTACTGCAATATTGTAATAATTGTACAGATAATGTCAACCCATTCATGACTGCATACTAGAATGGCTAGTTGGACATTTATTGGACAATGACATCATTAGTTTACTTTTGAACATCGGCAAAAAATCAAACATTTCCCCTACTTTAAGCTCCATTTCCAGGTTCTTTTTATAGTAAAACCAATCAAAATCACTCTATTTCTTTAATATGTTTTCCATTCTATCAAATGATACCAAGAAAACGAGTATACAACCATAAATACTATACGAAAATAGACCACAAATTCGGCATTTTAATTAAAAAAAAACGGTCTAGAGTTTTTTTTCTCATTATGCACTGCGTTCTCCAGGATTTTTTTATATGGTGCACAGACCCATTCTCTCACATGTGGGCCTACCAGCTTTCTCCTGCTTAATTTGAAGTAAGACGAATATATACGACCGAAACAGTCAGAGGATTAAAGGAACCCTCCCTCAGTTCACTGATCTTGCTCCCAGGCCCCTTCTATATAACAATTGCCCTTCATTTTGAATCTATAGTCACAAAAAAATCCTTGTTTTTTCCATATTTGTTGTTTAATAAACTATAACCCAATAATTGAAGTAAATGTAATGAACAGTCATAAAACAGGTGGGGGGGGAGTTGTTCCATAAATTTTCCCAGGAAAATTTCCTAAAATCCACTGTTTCTGCTATTGTGATACCCATTTTGGACCACCTCTGGACTTCTGTTATATCACTAGGCACCAAGAAACTTCAATAAAGCCATGAAATTCAGAGTCAGAGGTTAGCTGTTGTTGTCATGCACTGTGGGGGTCAGGATTTTTTTGTTTTGTACTGCACAGACCCACTGCATAGACCCATTCTCTCATGTCTAAACCAAAATTTGCTGTGCATAGCAGATTTGAGGGTACTCTGAATAATGCATACTACTATGTCATGGACTCTGATTATTATGACGTATTAGTATGTCATGTATTCTGATTGCTATGATGAGCCAGTTCATCATAGACTGCTAAGGGTTAAATCCAGAATTATCCATTATTGTTATGGTCCACTGGGTACACTGATTTTCTATTAACCAAGCAAATTCTGCTAAATCCAGAATTGGCCAATTGCTGGGTACAGTAAATTGATTTTTGAATTTAATGGACAAAGTCAATTAAATTCAAAATTGCCCATTATTATTATGATCATAATTTAGATTTAATGGATAAGCAGCATGGTAAGGTGACTCAAAACAGGAAGCATTCACAGTAATTCATTCTTTAGTTGACTTGTAAAAACATGTAGACATCACAATTCAAATAATCCTCTGAGCCACAACATCCCCAGCCTTCCTCCGGAGGCACTGTACTCTAATCCCAATACAGTATTAGGGATTTATTTTAATCCCTAATATAGGTCTTAAAGTAAATTTTAAGTGTTTACAAATTGAGATACACCATAAGCCTCACAAAGTGTATTTACACACACTACTGCCGGCAGTGCATACACGAGAGATATGCTACATATGCCTCAGAATATATAAAAAGAATGCTGATTAAAATTGGAGCTTTCTTGCATGTCTGCATGCGCATGTGTAAAGCTATAACAATAATAATAATAATAAAATTAAGTGCTAAACCTGGAAGAGTTGTACAGTGCTGTATATTGCCTTAGATTAAAGCATTTATTTTTGTAGCTGGAGGAGTCATAATTTTATTGATTTGTTTTTTATCGGGTAGCTTATTATTTCTTTTTAAAATTTACTTTTGTATTGTACTTTTTTCAGGTATAAATGAACTCATTCAGTCATTACAAAGGATCCAGACAGTGCTCAAATCAAATGGCCACCGAATAAGTGAAGATATGACCCTAGTGGCCCAACTGTTAACCAATCCAGAGTTCCAGAAGGTGCTGGCAGTTCACAATAAGGTGCAGGAAACCTGGTGTCTAAACAGACCTCCCACACCTGTTACCGACAATGCTCAGGAACTTTTAGCCGAGGTAAAAATCCAAAGTTTAAAACAAAATATCAGCTCACATGTGAATTTTTTTTTGTTAAAAGCATAGTACAGTGGAACCTCGGTTTTCGTCTTTAATTCGTTCCAGAGAGTCTGAGGAAAACCGAATTCGATGAAAACTGAAGCAATATTACCCATAAGAAATAATGTAAATCCATTTAATCCATTCCAGACAGCCAGAAATATTAACAAAAAATACATTTTATAGAGAATAACTATAGTTTGGATAAGTGAACATTTAAATCACTTTTACGTTTATTGAAGACTCTTGTTGGCGTATGGAAGATGGCGAGGAGGGGAGAGGGAGGATAAGTTTTCTCTACCACCATCATTACCACCCTCTACCATCATCACTACCATCCTCTACCACCATTACAACCACTACCACCCTGTACCACCATCACAACCACTACCACCCTGTACCACCATCACAACCACTACCACCCTGAACCACCATCACAACCACTACCACCCTCTACCACCATTGAATTCTATCGTGTTTCTCGTCTTCTTTATCAAAGGGCTGGCACTCGGAACTTTCTTTGGCTCCATGGTGGCTTATTTAGCAGTCGCACTCAATAAACAAGCACAAAAAACAATGGATTCTTACGAAATGTTTTGTATGAATGCGCAGGGTAATGTTTACTTGACGAGAAACAAAGCCAGACTGACTCAGAATGCGTGTGTGGGATGCTTTGTGTGGGCACGGGCAGACAGACACGTTTGGTACAGTGGAGGAAAACCGAGGCGATGAATGAAAACTGGGACAATATTTTGACGAAAAAAGTCGTCGAAAACCAGGGCAAACAAAAAACGAGGTTCCACTGTATTAGCATTAATAAGAATCTCCAGTACCTCATTTTTAGATAGTGAAGTGCAATAATAATAAATGTTTCTTGTTGGAGTGTGAGCAGGGTAATATTTTGTGAAGGGATTCAGGAAAACCAGTGAGCCTGACTTGAGTCTTGGAAATGGGAAGTACATGTACAATGTCTGCACTTTCAAGGAGGGGTTTGGGATATTGGCAGTTTGGAGGGACATCTAAACTGTCATATCTGAGTGCTTCTGCAAAGACAGTGATTATGTATGAGTGATGGTGGAAGTGTTGAATGATGATGAAAGTTTTTTCCTTCTTTTTGGGCTTTTCTTTCTTTTACAGGTCACCCTGCCTTGGTAGGAGACGGCCAGCATGTTAAAAAAAAAAATTAATGTATTTCCATAATGGACCCCTTTTTTCTGCTGATGTATTTTTTTAGAGGAGCAATGTGGCAGATGTTGCAAGTTTATGGAATAGGTGGTAAGTTACTAAATGCTGTAAAGAGCTTTTATGAGGATAGTGAGGCTCAGGTTAGGGTGTGTAGAAGAGAGGGAGAATACTTCCCAGTAAAAGTAGGTCTTAGACAGGGATGTGTAATGTCACCATGGTTGTTTAATATATTTATAGATGGGGTTGTAAAAGAAGTAAATGCTAGGGTGTTCAGGAGAGGGGTGGGATTAAATTATGGGGAATCAAATTCAAAATGGGAATTGACAGTTACTTTTTGCTGATGATACTGTGCTTATGGGAGATTCTAAAGAAAAATTGCAAAGGTTAGTGGATGAGTTTGAGAATGTGTGTAAAGGTAGAAAGTTGAAAGTGAACATAGAAAAGAGTAAGGTGATGAGGGTATCAAATGATTTAGATAAAGAAAAATTGGATATCAAATTGGGGAGGAGGAGTATGGAAGAAGTGAATGTTTTCAGATACTTGGGAGTTGATGTGTCGGCGGATGGATTTATGAAGGATGAGGTTAATCATAGAATTGATGAGGGAAAAAAGGTGAGTGGTGCGTTGAGGTATATGTGGAGTCAAAAAACGTTATCTATGGAGGCAAAGAAGGGAATGTATGAAAGTATAGTAGTACCAACACTCTTATATGGATGTGAAGCTTGGGTGGTAAATGCAGCAGTGAGGAGACGGTTGGAGGCAGTGGAGATGTCCTGTCTAAGGGCAATGTGTGGTGTAAATATTATGCAGAAAATTCGGAGTGTGGAAATTAGGAGAAGGTGTGGAGTTAATAAAAGCATTAGTCAGAGGGCAGAAGAGGGGTTGTTGAGGTGGTTTAGTCATTAGAGAGAATGGATCAAAGTAGAATGACATGGAAAGCATATAAATCTATGGGGGAAGGAAAGAGGGGTAGGGGTCGTCCTCGAAAGGGTTGGAAAGAGGGGGTAAAGGAGGTTTTGTGGGCGAGGGGCTTGGACTTCCAGCAAGCGTGCATGAGCGTGTTAGATAGGAGTGAATGGAGACGAATGATACTTGGGACCTGACGATCTGTTGGAGTGTGAGCAGGGTAATATTTAGTGAAGGGATTCAGGGAAACCGGTTATTTTCTTACAGTCGAACTTGAGTCCTGGAAATGGGAAGTACAATGCCTGCACTTTAAAGGAGGGGTTTGGGATATTGGCAGTTTGGAGGGATGTGTTGTGTATCTTTATACGTATATGCTTCTAAACTGTTGTATTCTGAGCACCTCTGCAAAAGCAGTGATAATGTGTGAGTGTGGTGAAAGTGTTGAATGATGATGAAAGTATTTTCTTTTTGGGTATTTTCTTTCTTTTTTTGGGTCACCCTGCCTCGGTGGGAGACGACCAACTTGTTGAAAAAAAAAAAAAAAAAGTATTTTTATTTAGTGTTAAGTCACTGTATCAGAAAGCTACTCATTATTGTGTGCATCTCTTTGTTGTACAAGATGTAACATTGTGATTTTAAACTAACACCTGGTAACAGTACTGTAATTGTGAGGCAGAAAGAAGTTTGGGGACTGTTTCTTGTTTATATATTTTCCCCCCCATCATCAAAAGTGACTTTTATCAAAGAGTCTGTTGCCATACCTATGACTAGTTTTCAGAGAGATTGTATTCTTGAAGCCCAACCTAGAGTTAAACATATTGCCAACTGCCTTGCCAACACTGCTGTTGTTGCTAGCGGCCTGTGTAGGTTATGTGCATTCACTGCTGGGGGGCGCTGCTCCCGCGACCCCTCCCAGGAGACCTGGTTGGGTTAGTAATGTCTGTTTGTTTAAGGTTCTGCTGGGAACATCATCTATGATAGAACTTTTGTGTTGCTTTTGAATATAATTAATTGACCGTACTTATCCTGACTATCTTTTATACTGTGTGATCACTTTCACTAATGATGCATAATTACATGTGGAAGTGGAAAAGAATTGTTCCTCTTTAACCCTTAAACTGTCCGAACGTAGATTTATGTTCGCTCGCGTAGTGCTCCAAACGTAGATCTACGTTTGGACAGTTTAAGGATTAAGCAATGCGTATCGTAAGAGGCGACTAAAATGCAGGGAGCAAGGGGCTAGTAGCCCCTTCTCCTGTGTAAATTACTAAATTTAAAATGAAAAACTTTTTTTTTTTTTTTTTTTTGGGGGGTGGGGGGGGGTCACTGCCTCGGTGGAATAAGGCTGATAGTTGAAAAAAAAAAATACAGTAAATCTTCACTAAGAAATTTTAGGGCATTTTATTAATTTTATTTTAATAATGAGACTGATAGCTAATATGTTATAACATTATATCATGTGAGCTTGCACAGTATGTGAAGATATTTTTCTGCAGCCATTGTTTACCATTATTGTCACAATATTTTGTAATGCATTACTATGCTTCTAAGATAACTACATAACTCACTAATATGACTTTTTTTTTCTTTTCTTCTTTAGTCAGAATGCATTATTAATATTGATAAAATAACTATCAGCAAGTTTTGATTTTTTCAAAATTTTAGTATTTTACATTTAAGCCCATTTTATTGTATACTATGTATACAACAGAGGGAATTCTTGACAACCCCTCAGCTCCTGCAGTTGGATAGTGGTGCTCTGGCAAGGCGTTTTTCTCATTAAGTTTTTCTTAAGAATTTAATTATATTTTAGATGTTGCTTCTCTAAACAAAGTATCTCAATAATAACTTATCACTATGATTAGCAAATTGTTTCACAGAGGAGGAGATTATTTCTGTTGTGTTTGATATTCGTTTTATAATGAATTTCTGTAAAGTGAACATTAGCAGTGGATAAATTCTGCATGATTTTTGAGTTATTTATTTCAGTTGTTAAATTTTTGCCATGAACAATTGGTGCTTTTTGTGCCATGCCAATTCGGTCTTTCTAAACATTATTTATTTTTGTAGTTTTCAAACTATAATTTTTTTGCAATTTTGTTTATTTTAATTGCATTTGTAACTCCACATTTCCTAGGTAGTAGGTTGGTAGACAGCAACTGCCCAGGGAGGTACTACCGTCCTGCCAAGTGAGTGTAAAACGAAAGCCTGTAATTGTTTTACATGATGGTAGGATTGCTGGTGTCCTTTTTTCTGTCTCATAAACATGCAAGATTTCAGGTACGTCTTGCTACTTTTACTTACACTTAGGTCACACTACGCATACATGTACAAGTATATAGTGTATACATACACCCCTCTGGGTTTTCTGCTATTTTCTTTCTAGTTCTTGTTCTTGTTTATTTCCTCTTATCTCCATGGGGAAGTGGAACAAAATTCTTCCTCCGTAAACCATGCGTGTTGTAAGAGGCGACTAAAATGCCGGGAGCAAGAGGCTAGTAACCCCTTCTCCTGTATAAATTACTAAATTTAAAAAAGAGAAACTTTTGTTTTTCTTTTTGGGCCAACCTGCCTCGGTGGGATATGGCCGGTTGGTGAAAGAAAGAAAGAACTCCATATTTAAATTTTTATTCCATTTGACAGTACAGTCATAACCCGCTTTACACCATTTCAGCTTACGTCAAATTTGCCTTTACGCCACTTTAGAGTAAATTTAAGTTCAGTGACTGGCATTACATCCAACTTTACATCACTCAGCAACCTCACCTATGTCATAATAAAAGGACTTGAAATAAATAAATTTTCCAAAATATGTAATATATTTAAAATAAAACACACAAAAATTAACAAAAAATAAACTAGAAAAAAATTTACAATAAAAACACATTAAAAACAAAAAAATACACATATACGTAGTTCTGCCATCTTGCTGCATGGTGGTGTTGCTGTTGGTTCTCATTCAAAACAAGGGTGATGCCATATGCATTTTTGCCCGTCCTGTGATCATGTGCTTGCTTTGCCTTTTGCTGTTATTTTTGTGATTATTCCTTTACTGTGTCTGTGTTAGCCATGAGTCCTAAGAAGGATAGTGCTAGTGACTCCAGGCGCAATGTGGTTACGATGGGAGACAAGTTAAATAAGATTAAAAGGCATTCTTTAATGCCTTAATGAGTTATATTCTTTTGCGTATTGTTTACACTAATTGTAAGGTGTTTTTTGGGCAGATCACAAGGTAAATAACATAATTTTTTAATTGTGTTCATTATGACTAAAATGTGTTTTTAGTGTTCTTGAAGGTGTATCTATAGTTATATTCTTTCGCAAGTTATTTACGCTAGTTTTATGGTGTTTATCATCATTTTAAGGCATTATGTCTGGTTTATATAAAAAACCAGGTTATGTCACTGCTCTGGGAACCAATTAATGGCATAGGGTGGGGTATGACTGTTTTCTGCCTTGCTATCATAGATGGAGTATTATACTAATATAAATAAAAAAAAGATAAATGCAGGAAAAACTTCTACACTTTATAATGTGTATTTTTTATTCTTTCCCAGTCTCTTCAGGAACTTCAAGAATACACAGTACCTGAGGCAGCAGAACTCATTGACATACTTAACAAATACTCCGTAGAAGGTCTCTTGTATGCTCATGACCGCATTGCTGAGCGTGAGCCTCTGTCTGTGGGGAACCTGCCTGAGGAGGAGGTGCTGGATAGAGTCACAAATTATCCTGAAGAAAGTGTCAAAATTGTCCGTATAGACAAGACAAACGAGCCTTTGGTAGTAATTTTATTTTCTGCAACTTTTTTTATTTAAATTTTAATTGTTATTTTTTTATGAATAGATTAAATTATGTATATATACAATTAAGAAAAGTTTGTTGATGATATATTTGCTTTATTCACTTTGCTAAATGTATTCCTATAAAGGTTGTTCAAAGTGAATTCACCTAAAGCAAATCTGTAATTGTAATTGTTTTACATGATGGTAGGATTGCTGGTGTCCATTTTTCTGTCTCGTAAACATGCAAGGTTTCAGGTATGTCTTGCTACTTCTACTTACACTTAGGTCTCACTACACATACATGTACAAGCATATATATACACACACTTCTGGGTTTTCTTCTATTTTCTTTCTAGTTCTTGTTCTTGTTTATTTCCTCTTACCTCTATGGGGAAGTGGAACAGAATTCTTCCCCGTAAGCCATGCGTGTTGTAAGAAGGCGACTAAAAGCCAGGGCAAGGGGCTAGTACCCCTTCTCCTGTATATAGAATAAATGAAAAAGGAGAAACTTTCCGTTTTTTTCTTTTTTGGGCCACCCCGCCTCGTGGTGATACGGCTGGTTGTTTGAAAGAAAGAAAGATAATATAATATATATAATATATATATATATAAACAAATATATAAAATTTTTTTTTTTTTTTTTTTCAACAATTCGGCCGTCCTCCCACCGAGGCAGGGTGACCCAAAAAGAAAGAAAATCCCTCAAAAAGAAAATACTTTCACATCATTCAACACTTTCCAACCACACTCGCACATTATCACCTGTTTTTTTGCGAGGTGCTCAGAATACAACCAGTCTAGAAGCATAAACATATAAAATACACAACATATCCCACCAAACTGCCAATAATCCCAAACCCCTCCTTTAAAGTGCAAGGCATTGTACTTCCCATTTCCAGGGCTCAAGTCCGACAATAATGAAAATGACCGGTTTTCCCCTGAATCCCTTCAACTAAATATTACCCTGCTCACACTCCAACAGATCGTCAGGTCCCCAGTACCATTCGTCTCCATACACTCCTTCCTATCTAAAACGCCTACACAGGCACGCTTGCTGGAAGTCCAACCCCATACCCACAACAACCTCCTTTACCCCTCTCTCCAACCCTTTCGAGGTGACCCCTACCCCGCCTTCCTTCCCCCTATAGATTTTTATATGCTTTCCATGTCATTCTACTGTGATCCATACCTCTCTAAAGAAAATGACCAAACCACCTCAACCAAACCCCTCTCCTGCCCTCTGACTAATACTTTTTTATTAACTCCACACCTTCTCCTAAAATTTCCACACTGCGAATTTTCAGCATAATATTTACAAAACCACACATGCCCTTAAAAGACAGGACAACTCCGACTGCCCTCCAACCGTCACCTCGCTGCTGCATTTACCACCCAAGCTTTCAACACAGTTAAACCCATATAAAGTGTTGGTACTACTATACTATCATACATTCCCTTCTTTGCCTCCATAGATAACGTTTTTTGACTCCACATATACCTCAACGCACCACTCTCCTTTTTTCCCTCATCAATTCATATGATTAACCTCATCCATCATGAAAAAAATCCACTCCGCCGAACGTCAACTCCAAGTAAACTGAAAACTTCACTTCTTTTCCCATACTCCTCCTCCCCAAGTTGATATCCACTTTTTCTTTATCTAAATCATTTTGAACACCCTCATCAACCTTTACTCTATTCTATTTCACTTTCACTTTCTCTACCATTACACACATTCCCAAACTCATCCACTAACCTTTGCAATTTTTCTTTAGAATCACCCATAAGCAAAGTAATCATCAGCAAAAAGTAACTGTGTCAATTCCCATTTTGAATTTGATTCCCCATAATTTAATCCCACCCCTCTCCCAAAAACACCCTAAGCATATACATCCTTTATCACAACCCCATCTTATAAATATATTAACAACCATGGTGCCCTTACACATCCCCTGCTAAGACCTCCTTTTACCGGGAAGTAGTCCTCCACTCTCTTCTACACACCCTAACCTGAGCCTCACTAACCACAATAAAAACTCTTTTACACATTTAATAACTTACCACCTATTCCATATATCTTTGCATACATATTATATATATACACAACACACACACACACACACCACACACACACAACACAACACACACACACACCGACATGGTCGCCATCAAATAATCGTCCGGCCTGAAGTCGTTCCAAGATCGTAATAGTCCATGTAATTTCGTCTAAACATAGGGTCGGCAATGGTTCCGTTTAGCTCGCTAATCGTCTTTTTTCGTCCTGAACGCTACTCGCGGCTTCTGAGGCCGTTCCCAGTCAGTTTGTGGCCATTCCCCCCCCCCCCCCCTATTTTTTTTACACATAAAGTGACGGTCCCCTTCATTGTTCAGACGAAATATTTCATAAATATTCCATTCATTTTAGTGCTTGCAAGTGCTAAATAAGCTACCATGGCTCCAAAGAAAGCTCCTTTGGTAAAGAAGTGAGAAATACGATTGAATTTAAGAAAAGCATCATTGAACAATATGAAAGGAGCAAGAGTTTCAAAGCAGGAAGAGCCAACAGGACGCAGCTCAGAAATCTTGCTGGAGAGGAGGTAGGAAGAGAGATGAAGAAGGTCCTTCTTCAGAAATTAAGGAGATTTTTGAAATGTGGGGTAGGATGGAAAGGTTTATGGAGAAACATCACCCTGAGAAGGATGTTTGCAAGCCATACCGGCAACTTGTACAGTGACAAGAGTCTTGGCCCATTTTAGGGAAGTTTTAAAGAGATGCCAGAAAATAGAGCCTCTCTGGACCATTATTTTGCTGAGACAGGACTCCAGTGACTCTCAAGCTGGTCCCTAGTGGCATTAAGAACCGAGAAGAGAGTAACCCCCAGAAAAGCAACGGTACCTCGAAGGTGTTGATGGAAGTGGAATCCCCTTCTCAAACAGGAATTCGTGTCTCTCCTCCAGTATTCCAAACACTAAGAAGAATTGCCAATAAAGGTAAGTGTTATGCTGTTAATGTTTCATTCATCATGTGCCATTGTATTGTTTATGTACTACATCTATATTTCATGTAAACAAATTTTTTTTGTTTCAATCTTCAGGGTGTCAGGAACGGATTAATGTAATGTTACATTATTTCTTATGGGGAAAATCGTCTATTTCGATAATAGTCCCACTTCCAGGAACGGATTATGGACGATAATTGAGGGACCACTGTATATATATTTTTTCTTTTCAGAATGTTTTCATAATACTGTATCTTTTCCCCTTCTGTGGGAAGGATTTTATATTAAGACATTTTTCTTTATTATTGTTAAATAATAAGAAGTAAATACATTTGATTTTGTAGGTAGTAGTTGGTAGAACCGCAAACCACCTAGGGAAGGTACTAAACTGTCCCTGCCAGATGACTGTGAAACAGAAACCTGATAACTGGTTTGCATGATGGTATGATTGCTGGTTTCTTTTTCTGTCTCATAAATACGCTAGATTAACAGGGATATCTTGCTACTCCTACTTACACTTTAGGTCCACATTCACAGACACGCACTGCACATTATAATACATACATCTAGGTTTTTCTCCCTTATTTCTAATACTCATGTCTTCTTTATTTCTTCTATTGTCCATCGGGGAAGGGAAAAGAATCTTTCCTCCGTAAGACCATGCGTGTCGTATGAGGCACTAAAATTGCCGGGAGCAATGGCTAGTAACCCCTTCTCCTGTAGACATTTACTAAATAAGAGAGTAGAAAATACTTTATAAAACTGGGATGCTTAAATGTGCGTGGATGTAGTGCGATGATCAAGAATCAGATGATTGCCTGATGTTTATGAATGAAAAAGAAGTTGGATGTCCCTGGCCCTAAGTGAAACAAAGCGAAGGGGTAGGGGAGTGTTCAGATGGGGGGAAATACAGGGATTAAATCTGGAGTATCTGATAGAGTTACAGCAAAGGAAGGGTAGTAAGTAATGTTTAAATGATCAGTTAAGGAAGGAGTAAAAGAGAATATGGAATGTGTAAAATTCCAAGAATTTATGTTGGATTAAAGTTAAGGTTGAATGTGAAAAGTTTGTCATAAGATAAGCGTGTAGCAACTGGAGTAAGTAGAGGAAAGTAGAGAGAGAGAGAGATTTTGGGAGATGATAAGTGAATGTATAGGATCCCTTTGAACGCAGAAGTGTAGAGTAATTTTGGGTAGGGGAACCTAATGCTGAAGTAGGAAAACTTTTAGAGAGGGTGTGGTAGGTAAGTTTGGGGTGCCAGTTTTAAATGATAATGGAGCCCTTTGATTGACACTTTGTATAGAAAGATGGTTTAGTTTAAAGTGTCATACATATTTAAGAAAAGAGGATAAATAATATACAAGATATGAGTAGTGCGAAATTACAGTAGTTTTAGTTGGATTATGTATTGGTAGATAAAAGACTGTTGAGAGACTTCAAGGATGTACATGTTTATAGAGGCCACAGAATATATCAATCACTTTCTAGTTGTAGCTACGCAACTGAAGTAAAAAGGTAAAAGGGATACAAGGAGAAATAGAAGCATCAGGGAAGAGAGAGGTGAAGGTTTATAAACTAAAAGGGAACAGTTAGGGTAAGAAATAAACAGCTATTGGAGGATAGATGGGCAAATGAGAGCATAGGCAATGGGGTCGAAGAGGTATGGGTAGTTTAAAATGTAGTGTTAGAAGTTTTCAGCAGAAGTTTGTGGTTACAGGAAAGTGGCTGCGGGAGGGAAGAGGAGGCGATTGGTGGAATGATGATTAAAGAGAGTAGTAAGGGCAAAAATTTAGCATATGAAAAGTTTTACAAAGTATAAGAGATTTGTAAGATTGAAGAGTATATGAGAAAAAAGTGAGAGGTTATGAGAGTGGTGAAGCACTGTAAAAAGAAGAGCAAATGAAGAGAGTGGGTGAGATGTTATCAACAAATTTTGTTGAAAAAAGAAAAAGTGTTTAAAGTGAGGATTAACAAGTTAAGGAAGCCTAGAGAACAAATTGGATTGTTAGTTAAAAATAGAGAGAGAGTTATTTAAATGGAGAGTTTAGAGGTATTGGGAAGATGGAGGGAATAATTTTGAGAATATGTTTACATGTTGATGAAGAAAGGGAAGCTTATGTTGGATTTTTATTTTTGTGATATAGGGCAAGGAGGAATAACAACTTGCAGTAGTGAGGAAGAGCCAGTTATGTTGAGTGTGGAGGAAGTTCGTGAGGCATAGGTAAAATAAAGGGTGGTAAGGCAGCCGGATTGATGGGAATAAAGAAGAAATGTTAAAAGCAGGTGTGGATATAGTTTTTGATGGATTGGTGCAATTATTTAATACATGTGTGGAACAGAGGGTAACAGTACCTAGTGATTGGCAGAGAGCATGCATAGTTCCTTTGTATAAAGCAAAGGGGAATAAAAAAATAAGAGTCCAAAATTAAAGGGGGATAAGTCTGTTGAGTATACTGGAAAGTGTATGGTAAGTTATTTATTGAAAGAATTAAGGAAGAAAACGAGAATAGTTGATAGCAGTTGAACAAGGAGTCTTAGGAAAGGTAGGGGGTGTTGTGGACCAGGTGATTACCAGTGAAACATATAAGTGGCACAGTAATTATATAAGGCTAAAGAGGTCTTTGTGGCATTTATGGAATTGAAAAGGCGTATGACAGGGGTGGATAGGGGGGCAATTATTGGAGGCAGATGTTGCAGGTGTATGTGTAGGAGGTAGGTTACAGAAAAGCAGTGAAGAGTTTTTACGAGGATAGTGAGCTCAAGTTAGAGTAATGTAGGAAAGAGGGAAATTAATTCCCAGGTAAAAGTAGGCCTTAGACAAGGATGGGTGAATAGAGTCACCTTGTTTAATATATTTAAGATGGGGTTTGTAAGAAAGAAGTGAATGCGAGGGTCAGTGCAATAGGCGTGGAATAAAAGAAAAAGAATCACACGCAAAGTGGGAGTTGTCACAGTTGCCTTTGCTGATGACACTGTGCTCTTGGGAGATTCCTGAAGAGAAATTGCCGAGATTGGTGGATGAATATTGGTAGGATGGCAAAAGAAGAAAATTAAAGGTGAATAACAGAAAGAGTATGGTTATGATGATAACAACAAGATTAGGGTGATGAAAGAATGGAAAATCATATTGGAGGTAGAGAGTAGGAGGCGGAGAATGACATCAGATCCGTAAAAGGAGTGGACGAGACAGCAGAAGGAATATTTTATGAAATATGAAGTAAATCAAAGAATAGAATATAGGGGAAAAGGGTGCGATGGTGCACTTAGAGTCGTGTGGAGACTAAGAACTTATGTCCTTGGAGGCCAAAGATGTAATGTAATATAGTAAAAGTTATTTACCAACGTCTCTTATATGGGTGTGAAGCAATGGGGAGATGAATGTATGCTGCGCGGAGAAGGGCATGGGGCAGTGGATGACATTTCTGAGGGCCAAGTGTGGATGTTAATAAAATGCAGAGAAAAACGTAATTATGGAAGTTATGTGAGGAGGTGCGGATTACCAAAACTGTTAAGTAGATTAGTTCCAGATGGGCTGAGGAATAGTAGTTACGGTTGGTTACGGACATGTAGAGAGAATGGACGCCGAAACAGAATGACTTCAAGAGTTAAATCAGTCTGGAAAGTGGAAGGAAGGCGGGGTAGGTCTGCTATAAATATCCATAGAAGGTAGGGAAGGGAGGGTGTAAAAGGGAGGTTTTGTTATGAGAGGGGCAGAACTTCCAGCACAGGCATGCGTTAGCGTGTTAAGAGTAGTGATGGAAAGGAGACAAATGGATTTTTAATACTTGACGTGCTTTTTGGAGTGTGAGCAAAGTAAAAATTTATGAAGGGGTTCAGGGAAACCGGCAGGCCGGACTTGAGTCCTGGAGATGGGAAGTACAGTGCCTGCACTCTGAAGGAGGGGTGTTAATGTTGCAGTTTAAAAACTGTAGTGTAAAGCACCCTTCTGGCAAGACAGTGATGGAGTGAATGATGGTGAAAGTTTTTCTTTTTCGGGCCACCCTGCCTTGGTGGGAATCGGCCAGTGTGATAATAAAAAATAAAACTTGACTCAAGAAATCGTAATGAGACTCTATGACCGCGGGTTCAATCCCGGCCGGGGGTATGGTTAAAAAAATAAAACATTTGATTATGAATATAGTGATGTATAGGGTACTATAATGAAATGGTACTTTTTAGGGTGCTTAAATTTGTTAAAAAGGGTATGTATAATAACAATAATAATAATAATGTATAGCAAAAGGAGACCATTTATTTAAACAAGAACATAAGAATTGTAAAAAAATCATATAAAATATTATGATTTTGCTTAATTTTTTCCTAAAAATGCAGTTTCGAGATCATTTGATTTAAAATTGAGATCATTTGTATTTCTACCAACACAGCATCACCTGCAAGAGGCTTTTCAAGTACCTACTTGGTAAAGCCTTACATAGGTGAAACGTGGTAATAATAGTCTGTTGCTATTCGTATCTTTTTTAAGTACTGGACTCACAGGCATCCTCCAGCAGAATTCTGTAATACACTGATACTTTGTAGGGTGCTACAATTCGAAACGAAGGTGATTCAGTGATCATTGGCCGCATCGTGAAAGGTGGTGCTGCTGAGAAGTCTGGTCTCCTCCATGAGGGTGATGAAATTTTAGAAGTTAATGGTGTGGAAGTGAGAGGAAAGTCAGTCAATGACATTTGTGATATGCTGGCTGGTAAGTACTGTTTTGTTTTTGTTAGGACATAAGATCATTGGTAATATTTGGGTAGGACTGCTTAGTGAAAAAGGTTGTGGGTAGACAGGGAGAGGGATAAGGAAGGTACTACTGCTAGTACTGCTAGACTTTACTCAAGACCAGTTATTATATTTCCTGAGTCAGTACCAATAACCTCTCCAGGGTCCTCCTGTATACTTAGCTTTGTGATTTTTACAAACATTTTAAATTTGTGTTTTTCACTGTTGAAAGCAAAGGAATTTATTAGCAGTTTTTGAAGTTTTTAACATTAATCTTGTTTCCAAGCCATTTGTATGTGACTCAAACTCATAATTACATGATTGTAAATAACTCACAAAACATAGACAGAATTTAAACCCATAGGCAAGCCACCATGATGCAGTAGTTAGAGCACTGCCTAGCCATGGATTCGAATCCTGTCCATTTTATAAATCATTTATATTGTATAATATGAAGAAGATATAGGTGATTACTTATCTCAAGTATCTTGTATGTTATGCACAACCTGTGAAATTTGTTGATTTAGTGATAAATTTGCTCTGAAACTGTTGATTGCAAAATGCATTATCAATCACTAACTACAAATTTTATACTTTACTGTGATAGGCATGACTGGAACTTTAACCTTCATCATCATCCCAAGTGGACATCCTCCTCCAACTTCTCGACCACCAATTGCTCAGACAATACAAGTCAAAGCCCACTTTGACTATGATCCTGAAGAGGATTTGTATATACCATGCAGGTTAGTATTATATACAAAACAGCTAAGTTAGCTCATCCTGTCCACTTATTTATATTTTATTCAACATCAGTTAATGCCAACATAAAAAAAAACATGACATCCTGATTTCCATTAAAATTGTTACGCAGAAAAGTGTAATACATATCTGGAATCTTTTTCTTTTCTTTTTCAACACACCAGTTGTATCCCACTGAGGCAGGATGACCCAAAAAGAAAAACGAAAGTTTTTCTTCTTAAATTTAGTAATTTATACAGAATAATAATCTTTATTTTCTACAAGTACATGTACAATCTTAGGTAGTAGGTTGGTAGACAGCAACCGCCCAGGGAGGTACTGCCGTCCTGCCAAGTGAGTGTAAAACGAAAGCCTGTAATTGTTTTACATGATGGTAGGATTGCTGGTGTCCATTTTTCTGTCTCATAAACATGCAAGGTTTCAGGTACGCCTTGCTACCTCTACTTACACTTAGGTCACACTACACATACATGTACAAGCATATATATACACACACCCCTCTGGGTTTTCTTCTGTTTTCTTACTAGTTCTTGTTCTTGTTTATTTCCTCTTATCTCTATGGGGAGTGGGACAGAATTCTTCCTCCGTAAGCTATGCGTTGGTAGGTAAGACACAAAGGCAACAGTTAGGCAACTTTATTCCGAAACGTTTCGCCTACACAGTAGGCTTCTTCAGTCGAATACAGAAAGTAGGCAGGAACAGTAGAGATGTGAAGACGATGTAATCAGTCCATCACTCTTGAAGTCGTAGAATTTGAGGTTGCCAGTCCCTCAGCCTGGAGAAGTTCAGTTCCATAGTCAGGAACTATCTGAAGATCAAGCGACAGTGCGGAGACTTAAATACTGTCGGAAGGAGAGGTGCATAGTAGTAGTAGTAGTGAGAATGTAGCCACTGAGAGGTCATGTCCTTCTCAGATCCAACATTTCTCACTTGAAAAACTTGTCCAAGGTGTTTTCTGTACCAAGAGGCCATGCGTTGCAGTGTCTGACAAGATGAACATCAAAATGGTATAAAATACTGACAGGTTGGTAGGTAAGACACAAAGGCAACAGTTAGGCAACTTTATTCCGAAACGTTTCGCCTACACAGTAGGCTTCTTCAGTCGAATAAAGAAAGTAGGCAGGAACAGTAGAGATGTGAAGATGATGTAATCAGTCCATCACCCTTGATGTTCATCTTGTCAGACACTGCAACACATGGCCTCTTGGTACAGAAAACACCTTGGACAAGTTTTTCAAGTGAGAAATGTTGGATCTGAGGACATGACCTCTCAGTGGCTACATTCTCACTACTACTCTGCACCTCTCCTTCCGACAGTATTTAAGTCTCCGCACTGTCGCTTGATCTTCAGATAGTTCCTGACTATGGAACTGAACTTCTCCAGGCTGAGGGACTGACAACCTCAAATTCTACGACTTCAAGGGTGATGGACTGATTACATTGTCTTCACATCTTTACTGTTCCTGCCTACTTTCTGTATTCGACTGAAGAAGCCTACTATGTAGGCGAAACGTTTCGGAATAAAGTTGCCTAACTGTTGCCTTTGTGTCTTACCTACCAACCTCTCGGTATTTTATACCATTTTGATGTTCAAGCTATGCGTGTTGTAAGAGGCGACTAAAATGCCAGGAGGAAGGGGCTAGTAATCCCTTCTCCTGTATAAATTACTAAATTTAAAAAGAGAAACTTTTGTTTTTCTTTTTGGGCCACCCTGCCTTGGTTGGATACGGCCAGTTTGTTGAAGAAAAAAAAAAATAACTTACACAGAATAATAATCTTTATTTTCTACAAGTACATGTACAATCCTAGGTAGTAGGTTGGTAGACAGCAACCGCCCAGGGAGGTACTACCATCCTGCCAAGTGAGTGTAAAACGAAAGCCTGTAATTGTTTTACATGATGGTAGGATTGCTGGTGTCCATTTTTCTGTCTTGTAAACATGCAAGATTTCAAGTACGTCTTGCTACTACTTCTTACACTTAGGTCACACTACACATACATGTACAAGCATATATATATGTACACACCCCTCTGGGTTTTCTTCTATTTTCTTACTAGTTCTTGTTCTTGTTTATTTCCTGTTCTCTCCATGGGGAAGTGGAACAAAATTCTTCCTCCGTAAGCCATGCGTGTTGCAAGGGGCTAGTAACCCCTTCTCCTGTATATATTACTAAATGTAAAAGGAGAAGCTTTCGTTTTTCCTTTTGGGCCACCCCGCCTCGGTGGGATACGGCCGGTGTGTTGAAAGAGAGAGACATGTACAAGGTATACAGGTCTAGCTGACATCAGTGACATGCTACTATATAGAAAGCCCCTTGTTATGTAGAGCATTTCAGGCAAATTAGGTCAATTTTTGTCCCAAGATATGACCCACACCAGTTTGCTGATGGATGAACATGGACAACAAGTGTTAGGAAACACGCCCAGTGTTTCCACTCTTGCTGGGAATCGAACCCAGACTCAGTGTGTGAATCAAAATCTTTGCCTGTATCATTCCTCTTTCTCCCGGCATTTCAGTTGCCTCTTACAACATGCACAGTTTAAGGAGGAAGAATTCTTGTATCCGGTATCATCAGCACTGATTGCACTAGCCAACAAAATTAAATAGTTCATTTAGATCAGAAGCCAAATTGGTTGTTTTGAGCTAACTTTGATATGTTGATAATCACTCTTGTTCAGTCTATCACATAATGGTTCTTTTGAAATTTTATGATCAGTATTTTGGCTCTTGAAAGTTGAGGAACCACATGATATATGCTCTTTAACAATCTTCTTCGGTTTCAACAAACCAGCTGTATCCCACAATCATAAGTATTATATTTATTCATCGATATTAGGTGTGGTGCATGCAGTGACAGAAACTAATCATTCAAGTCATTATTAGAGTTACAAATTGATTGAGAGAGAGTGTGAGTGTGTGTGTGTGTGTGAGTGTGTGTGTGTGTGTGTGTGTGTGTGTGTGTGTGTGAGTGTGTGTGTGTGAGTGTGTGTGTGTGTGTGTGTGAGTGTGTGTGAGTGTGTGTGTGTGAGTGTGTGTGGGTGTGGTGTGTGTGTGTGTGTGTGTGTGTGTGTGTGTGTGTGTGAGAGTGTGTGTGAGTGTGTGTGTGTGTGTGTGTGTGTGTGTGAAACTTAAGTTTCTGGTGTCTTGTATATTTTATCATAATGCTATTGCTCATGTGTTTTAATGTTAATAGTCCCTTCATTGAATTGTCTCAGAGCCTCATTAGCACTACTTAATTTTCTTCCAAAAAGTTTATATTGAAGTTAAAAACATGGTTTAAATTCTTTCAGAGAATTAGGTATGAGCTTCCAAAAAGGCGACATTCTTCATGTTATCTCCCAGTCCGACCCTAACTGGTGGCAGGCCTACCGGGATGGGGAGGAAGACCAAACACTTGCAGGCCTTATTCCTTCAAAAACCTTTCAGCAGCAGTGAGTGTTTTATTAAATATTTGATTTTAATTTGTCATATTCGATTAATGGGAAAGCACTAAACTTGTAAGTGGTGTTGGAGGTGATCAGGTTTGATGCAAAGAAGTTGAAAGTTGCTCTAACTTCTTGCATTTCATTATTTAGATAGGTGAATAATGCATGTCTGATATTAATAATTATTTATTGAAATGTAATTAAGTCTTATTTCCACATCAGTTTTTCTTTTATGTCGATAATCAGAAACCCAGATAATCGGTAAACTTAGTTTCCCACATCAACATGTGATCATATCTGAATTAGAAATTCTTCATAGATATGTAATTTTGATTTATTATCTGGCAAATAATTGTTTTATTTTAATAAGATGTGGAATATTAAGATGTGTATACATATCAGTAATTCTGGCCCTGGGCTACAAAATACAGTGGAAAAAACAAATTAGAATAGACTATTTCAGAGCTGGTGTTGGAAAGTGACCACAAATTAAAAATAAATAAATTCAACATGAAATACATTACAAGTCCTACATGCTTATTTCATCCTTGGAAATATCAGTATGAAACAACAGTCTATCAAGGAATACAAAATTGACAAGCCTTAATAGTGAAAAAATTTTGTACAGTTGAGGACATTAAATAAAGGAAACATTAAGTCATGAGTGGCTTCATTAGCTAAAACTATTTTTAGATTATTATAGAAAGCAAGTAATAGTGATTTCTTAATTGGAGGGATATGTTGTATATGCTTCTAAACTGTTGTATTCTGAGCACCTCTGCAAAAACAGTGATTATGTGTGAGTGTGGTGAATGATGATGAAAGCATTTTCTTTTTGGGGATTTTCTTTCTTTTTTGGGTCACCCTGTCTTGGTGGGAGACGGCCAACTTGTTGAAAAAAAAAAAAAAGATTTTTAAAGATGGCAGACAGTAGGACTGTTGATTAGGGCAGCTGAAGCCATTTGGGCAAAATATTTCCTTTATTATATGAGGCATTACATAGAATGAAAGGGGGTAAAGCAGCTGGAACTGATGGGATCATGAAAGAAATGTTAAAAGCAAGGGGGGATATAGTGTTGGAGTGGTTGGTACTTTTGTTTAATAAATGTATGAAAGAGGGGAAGGTACTTAGGGATTGGCAGAGAGCATGTATAATCCCTTTATATAAAGGGAAAGGGGACAAAAGAGATTGTAAAAATTATAGAGGAATAAGTTTACCGAGTATACCAGGAAAAGTATACGGTAGGGTTATCATTGAAAGAATTAGAGGTAAGACAGAATGTAGGATTGCGGATGAGTAGGGAGGCTTCAGAGTGGGTAGGGGATGTGTAGATCAAGTGTTTACATTGAAGCATATATGTGAACAGTATTTAGATAAAGGTAGGAAAGTTTTTATTGCATTTATGGATTTAGAAAAGGCATATGATAGTGGATAAAGGAGCAATGTGGCAGATGTTGCAAGTACGTATATGGAATAGGTGGTAAGTTACTAAATGCTGTTAAGAGTTTTTATGAGGATAGTGAGGCTCAGGTTAGGGTGTGTAGAAGAGAGGGAGAATACTTCCCGGTAAAAGTAGGTCTTAGACAGGGATGTGTAATGTCACCATGGTTGTTTAATATATTTATAGATGGGGTTGTAAAAGAAGTAAATGCTAGGGTGTTCGGGAGAGGGGTGGGATTAAATTATGGGGAATCAAATTCAAAATGGGAATTGACACAGTTACTTTTTGCTGATGATACTGTGCTTATGGTAGATTCTAAAGAAAAATTGCAAAGGTTAGTGGATGAGTTTGGGAATGGGTGTAAAGGTAGAAAGTTGAAAGTGAACATAGAAAAGAGTAAGATGATGAGGGTATCAAATGATTTAGATAAAGAAAAATTGGATTTCAAATTGGGGAGGAGGAGTATGGAAGAAGTGAATGTTTTCAGATACTTGGGAGTTGACGTGTCGGCGGATGGATTTATGAAGGATGAGGTTAATCATAGAATTGATGAGGGAAAAAAGGTGAGTGGTGCGTTGAGGTATATATGTAGTCAAAAAACGCTATCTATGGAGGCAAAGAAGGGAATGTATGAAAGTATAGTGGTACCAACACTCTTATATGGATGTGAAGCTTGGGTGGTAAATGCAGCAGCGAGGAGACAGTTGGAGGCAGTGGAGATGTCCTGTCTAAGGGCAGTGTTTGGTGTAAATATTATGCAGAAAATTCGAAGTGTGGAAATTAGGAGAAGGTGTGGAGTTAATAAAATCATTAGTCAGAGGGCAGAAGAGGGGTTGTTGAGGTGGTTTGGTCATATAGAGAGAATGGATCAAAGTAGAATGACATGGAAAGCATATAAATCTATAGGGGAAGGAAGGAGGGGTAGGGGCCGTCCTCGAAAGGGTTGGAGAGAGGGGGTAAAGGAGGTTTTGTGGGCGAGGGGCTTGGACTTCCAGCAAGCATGAGTGAGCGTGTTAGATAGGAGTGAATGGAGACGAATGATACGTGGGACCTGACGATCTGTTGGAGTGTGAGCAGGGTAATATTTAGTGAAGGGATTCAGGGAAACCGGTTATTTTCATATAGTCGGACTTGAGTCCTGGAAATGGGAAGTACAATGCCTGCACTTTAAAGGAGGGGTTTGGGATATTGGCAGTTTGGAGGGATATGTTGTGTATCTTTATATGTGTATGTATTCTGAGCACCTCTGCAAAAACAGTGATAATGTGTGAGTGTGGTGAAAGTGTTGAATGATGATGAAAGCATTTTCTTTTTTGGGATTTTCTTTCTTTTTTGGGTCACCCTGCCTCGGTGGGAGATGGTCGACTTGTTAAAAAAAAAAAAAAAAAACTATATTAGAAGTCTTATTTACACAGCTTGTCAGTACCACCATGCCATTTATAACTAACCTTAACCCTTTGACTGTCGCAACCCCCAATCCTGAGGTGTCTCCTGGTGTCGCAAAATTTAAAAAAAAAAAAAATTATTTTTTCTTATGAAATGATAGAGAATCTTTTCCCGATTGTAATGACACCAAAAAAAACGAAATTTGATGGAAAACTGACGGAATTATGCTCTCGCGAAGTTAGCGACCTCGGCGCTGTTTACAAATCGGCGATTTCGCCCACTTTGAGCCCTATTTTCGGCTAATTCCATTGTTCCAGTCGCCCAAACTCATAGCTATTTCTTTAGAACTTCATTTTTTCTATCGATTGAGTACAAGAAACTGCCCTTTACTGATTTCAACTACCTAATAATGTGGTCAGAAATTTGCAATTTGGCCAATTTCACGAAAACTAAAAAATATGACAATTTCAAAATAAGGTCCAGAATGAACAATGCAGACATTCCAGGCTCTAAAATAACGTTTTCTTTGTTCATCAGTCACGTCTCCAGGCCCCTCTGATATTACTCTTGCTTTCTATTTTGAATTTTTATTCAAACAAAAAATATTAGACTTACTATTATGCAGACTACTGTAATGCTGTAATAACTGTATAAATAACATCAACCCATTCATGACTGCATATTAGAATGGCTAGTTGGACATTTATTGGACAATGGCATCATTTGTTTACTTTTGAACATTGGCAAAAATCAAACATTTCCCCTACTTTGAGCTCCATTTCTAGGTTCTTTTTATAGTAAAATCAATCAAAAACACCTCTATTTCTGTAATATGTTTTCCATTCTATCAAATGAGACCAAGAAAATGAGAATACAACCATAAATACTATACGAAAATAGACCACAAAGTCGGCATTTTAATTAAAAAAAACGATCGGGAGTTTTTTTTTTCTCATTATGCACTGCGTGCTCCAGGATTTTTTTTATATGGTGCACACTGACCACACAGACCAATTCTCTCACATGTGGGCCTACCAGCTTTCTCCTGCTTGATTTGAAGCCGCTAGAATTTATGAGTATATATACGTCAAACACGGCACCTCGTAAAACATATATGTACGGCCGCGACAGTCAAAGGGTTAATAGAGTTGAGAGAGTAATGAGTGGAAATGTATGGAATGTGTGTGAGGTACCATATGTAAATATTCTAAACTAGAATATATAATTAATATTCTAGGGAAGGAGGTAATAAAGTGTAATAGAAAAGACAAAAACTGATGAGGGAAGTTCACGAATGTTAGGTAATTCTTCCTAATAAATTCGTATGACCTTTTGGACAATGCTTGTGTATAATAGAGAAAACTATTTTGACCCTAACTAGTAACTCACTTTTGTAAAGGAATTACATGTAAAGTGAAATTTTACGATATTGTGAACTTGCTACCTAAAAAGGGGTTGTGTGTGATCTGCTACAGTTAATGCTTCAGTGCAAGCCTGTTTGATGTCTTGTATGGTGTATGCAAGTTCTTGACTTTTCAAGAGATGTACCTTGATTGTAGTGAATGGCTTCTGATGCAGAGTCTAAACTACCCTCCCTTTCTTTGGATCAAAGTTGATTTCCTCCCAATTTCCTAGTGCTATATGACCTGTGTGTGTTTAGTGTTATCCCATGAATGTAATAATAAATTTTTTATTTGTTTCATTTTAAAGAACAGTAAAAAGTTAAGTAATTATTTATTTTTTGTAAGGTTCGGTACTCCTGTTCAGTCTTCTTTAGTGTCCAACGTAACAGAATTGATCAGTGAATACAAATATATCTGCATACACATAGTGTGATACAGGTCTCTCTCACTTTCTGTAAATTTGTTTTTGTACAATGTACCATTTCTATTTGTAATTCCCTATGTGCGATATACTTTATGCATATGCAATGGGTGGTTCACAAAGCATATTGATTGTGCCTGATGGAGCCTAGTATGGCTCCCATGGACCTGGAACACATGTACTTGAAGTGAGGGATGCTTGTAATCATATATTCTATGCCTATCCTGTCAACACATAATACTAATCATATTTACTATATGTGCCTGCACTGAAGTATTGCTTACATACTTGTTAAAAAATAAGACTTTGCTACAGATTCCTATGTTAATCTCTTCATATGTGCATCAAGCATGTTTCTTACTCACAGCCGGGAGGCAATGAGACAAACTGTAGTAGGTGACAGCAACAATAAGGAGAAGACCAAGAAGGGCAAGTTGTTATGTGCCAAAAAACACCAGAAGAAGAAGAAGAAGAAAATGCTTATCCAAATTATAATGAAGGTTAGTGTGAACACTCTTAATGGCATGGACTGGGAAAGATTACTTCTGTAGTTGAATACTAACACAACATAGAGGCTTCAGTAGAATACTTTTCTGTATGAGACTGGGAATACTAATTTGTGTAAGCATGTACAGTGGACCCCCGGTTAACGATATTTTTTCATTCCAGAAGTATGTTCAGGTGCCAGTACTGACCGAATTTGTTCCCATAAGGAATATTGTGAAGTAGATTAGTCCATTTCAGACCCCCAAACATACACGTACAAACGCACTTACATAAATACACTTACATAATTGGTCGCATTGGGAGGTGATCATTAAGCGGGGGTCCACTGTATTTCACGTTATTTAGTTATATGATAAATCCTATTGCATGGCATGTTCTCTAAAGGATTACTAATATGGCACTGTAGACATACAGTGCTGACATGACCTGCATGGTTGATGCATGACTGTTGCTCAATCTTAACATGACAAACTTTGAAGAATTACTAACTGATTACTGTATTTTATATACTGATACATATCATGAGTTGGATATTTTATTTAGAACCATAGATATTTTTTGATTGAAATTATGTTGGCGATTTAGTTTGGTAAAATAAATTTAATATGAAAATAAATTATTTACAATTTTATATTAAAGCAGTAAAAATTCCACATTTAAACACACCTTGACTAGACAATTTGTTGTTGCGAGACAAATATATAGCTTCATGTAGTCTTATGTGGTGCATTGAACAGATATTGACAATTTCAGTTTCTCATAGGAAACTTTAAATGAAGTTCAATAAAAATTTTGCTGCTAAAAATTTTTGAATATGATTTCTAACAGTTGAAGGGAGAATATCTTAGAGTTACGATATGTGTTTACTGTATTAACTAAAACTTCATTAGAAAGAGGCTTGTTACAGAGGGAGGACTGGCCCAGGGCTGGGTCAGGGTAGTAGGAAAACTCTTGAAATAGGCCACAAGTAAATCTTGCTCTGGGTAAAGCTTTATTTAAGGCATAATTTGATAAAACTCTACCCAGAGCAGACCATCATTTAAAGGATCTCTGTAACACTTGTTTGTTTAACATACTTGTCAACAATACCTGATTTCGAAAAGTTTGTTGATAATAGTGAGAAGAAAGAAGGAAATTGTAATTACCTATCTATAATTAATTGTAGCTACTAGAGCAAAGCTTGTGGTACCTGTTTTCTGTACTCGTATCAAAGGCTCCTCCACCCTGCAGAAGGCTTTTTCATCGGCACAACGTGGACCATTTTCCATTTGTCTGCTAGTTTAATCTCAATTGTGAAAAGTCTGAGATTTTCCGGAGAGGATAGCTTGTTTCATTGGCACGTTCTTTTTGGACCCATTGTGCTCTGTTATATGGTCCAGTTATTTCTTTCAGTCTATATTCATTAGTTGCTTCCTAAACTTCTCTGGTTATTTCAACATCATCTGTTTCAGTTGGAGATTTTTTGGGGGGTTTAAATTTGCAGTATCCTTGGTGTCTTCTGTAAACACTTTTTGTAACTTCACATATATGTATTAACTCACATTTTCATTTCACACATATATATATATTATCTCGCATATCCCCTTCCAAATCAATCATTTTGTCATCCTTAATTCTTTGTATTTTGTCTTTCGCATTTAGTTTGGTTATTACAAACTTAAAAAGATTAGGCTGTGTCATGCTTTTGTCAGCTATAATTTTTTTTTATTTTTTCTCTCCCTCTTTACCCTTTCATAATCAGTTTTGGCTTGTTTAAATCCCTAACAGTTCCTGAGTTGGCATATTTCCTGTGTCAGCATGTTTCATTAAACCTTTATTACATCTTTTGCCCCCATTTTTGGGAATAAATTGTTCGATGCTATCTTTGTATTGGTGCAGAACTCATTGCATAGCTTGTTTATATCTGCCCCTTGCAATATTCTACTCCCCTTTGTTTCTCTGAAATACTGTCTTAGATCGAGGTTGCATTTAGCAACTTATATTACTTGAACTTGGTCTTTCTTTCATACTGTTGTGAAATTAATCTGATTAGGAAATTTGGTTGAGTGTGTGTATTGTCTGTTTAATAAAGCCAATGTGGAGGATTGTAATTTCTTAAGAGTGTTTACAAAAGCATTTTTCTTGCTAATTGTTATCTTCCTTTAACCATATTGTTATTCCAGATGATTTGGTAGCCTGCGACATATTCTTATTTATATATTTGAATTTGATGATCACTTATTCCACTTCTTTCTACTTTTTTTTAACTTGTTTGTTTTCTTGTCCACTTTCTTACACATTCCATTGTGCACATATAAACGTACAGTTATTTTTCTTGGTATTCTCTTAGTGCATTGCAAACAAGTAATGTTAGCCTGATGGATTGTAGGTTACAAGATTTATATTCATGGAAAGCTCTAAAATCTATGAGTCATACTTCATAAAAATGGAAAATTACAGTGAACTAAGAATGATACAGTTATAAGTGAGAAATTCTTTTATTCTGCTGCAGATTATAAATGAGGAATGATTCATATGTTATACAAATATATAAGTTTTTTGTTATATTCTTTGAAGAGTTTCAGTAAGAATTAGGAAATGTGTATGTATGAATTTTATTATGTGGAACACTTCTTACGAAAAGAATTTATTTATACTAATATTGACATTTTTTTCATTTTTCTATTTTTATAGGTTTTTAAAATTTTATTTTTACTAAGGTTTATGCCCATCGTCATCAATGCTTCGACCACCAAGCTCAAACATGGGTTTATCTTGCATGCAAGGAGCTCATTTTCCAATATTCTTTCTATTCTTTTCAAATTTAACTCAATATCTGCCTCTTGTATATGGTTCAGCACGGAGCAACTCTCCACTTCCTATGCCAGGAAGAGGTGGTCCAGGTGCTGACATCATAAGTGAAACTGAGAACACAGCAACTCAAGCAAGAAGTAGAGTATTGACAGTGAGATTTGCCCTCCCATCTTGTGGTTGTGTTAAAGGCAGCTCACGGAGGAGGCGGTGCAGCTCATTGTCTGACCTCGATGTTGGTACGGGGCAGTGTTAGTCGGTGTTTTGGAGGCTTTTGCATACTGTCTTGTGCTTCATTATAGGTGGCAATATCCAGAATCTTTATATTTGGATGTATATTTGAGGAATGTCAAAATTAATGTAGCTAAGAAGATCATTTTATTGATGTATTTAAAGGTTTCTCTAAATGTTGTGATCATTTTCATAATGTTGTGAATGAAATGATGTTCAGTGTCCTAGTAGTAACTGATAGGAGGAAACTGGATGTCTTAGTAATGAGTGAAGCAATATTAAAATAGAATTGGACAAGTAAAAAGGGGCAGGAAGGTTTCAGTGGAAATTAGTTAATGAATGAAAAGAAGTTGGATGTCCTGGCCCCAAGCGAAACAAAGCTGAAGGGGGTAGGAGAGTTTCGGTGGGGGGAAATAAATGGGATTAAATCTGGAGTATCTGAGAGAGTTAGAGCAAAGGAAGGGGTAGCAGTAATGTTGAATGATCAGTTATGGAAGGAGAAAAGAGAATATGAATGTGTAAATGCAAGAATTATGTTTATTAAAGTAAAGGTTGGATGCGAGAAGTGGGTCATAATAAGCTTGTATGCACCTGGAGAAGAGAGGAATGCAGAGGAGAAAGAGAGATTTTGGGAGATGTTAAGTGAATGTATAGGAGCCTTTGAACCAAGTGAGAGTAATTGTGGTGGGGGACCTGAATGCTAAAGTAGGAGAAACTTTTAGAGAGGGTGTGGTAGGTAAGTTTGGGGTCCCAGGTGAAAATGATAATGGGAGCCCTTTGATTGAACTTTGTATAGAAAGGGGTTTAGTTTATAGGTATACATATTTTTAAGAAGAAGAGGATAAATAAGTATACAAGATATGATGTAGGGCGAAATGACAGTAGTTTGTTGGATTATGTATTGGTAGATAAAAGATGTTGAGTAGACTTCAGGATGTACATGTTTATAGAGGGGCCACAGATATATCAGATCACTTTCTAGTTGTAGCTACACTGAGAGTAAAAGGTAGATGGGATACAAGGAGAATAGAAGCATCAGGGAAGAGAGAGGTGAAGGTTTATAAACTAAAAGAGGAGGCAGTTTAGGGAAAGATATAAACAGCTATTGGAGGATAGATGGGGCTAATGAGAGCATAGGCAATGGGGTCGAAGAGGTATGGGGTAGGTTTAAAAATGTAGTGTTAGAGTGTTCAGCAGAAGTTTGTGGTTACAGGAAAGTGGGTTTGGGAGGGAAGAGGAGCGATTGCTGGAATGATGATGTAAAGAGAGTAGTAAGGGAGAAAAAGTTAGCATATGAGAAGTTTTTACAAAGTAGAAGTGATGCAAGGAGGGAAGAGTATATGGAGAAAAAGAGAGGGGTTTAAAGAGAGTGGTGAAGCAATGTAAAAAGAGAGCAAATGAGAGAGTGGGGGGAGATGTTATCAACAAATTTTGTTGAAAATAAGAAAAGTTTTGGAGTGAGATTAACAAGTTAAGAAAGCCTAGAGAACAAATGGATTTGTCAGTTAAAATAGGAGAGGAGAGTTATTAAATGGGAGTTAGAGGTATTGGGAAGATGGAGGGAATATTTTGAGGAATTGTTAAATGTTGATGAAGATAGGGAAGCTGTGATTTCGTGTATAGGGCAAGGAGGAATAACATCTTGTAGGAGTGAGGAAGAGCCAGTTGTGATGTGGGGAAGTTCATGAAGCAGTAGGTAAAATGAAAGGGGGTAAGGCAGCCGGGATTGATGGGATCAAGATGGAAATGTTAAAAGCAGGTGGGGATATAGTTTTGGAGTGGTTGGTGCAATTATTTAATAAATGTATGGAAGAGGGTAAGGTACCTAGGGATTGGCAGAGAGCATGCATAGTTCCTTTGTATAAAGGCAAAGGGGACAAAAGAGAGTGCAAAAATTATAGGGGGATAAGTCTGTTGAGTATACCTGGTAAAGTGTATGGTAGAGTTATTATTGAAAGAATTAAGAGTAAGACGGAAAATAGGATAGCAGATGAACAAGGAGGCTTTAAGAAAGGTAGGGGGTGTGTGGACCAGGTGTTTACAGTGAAACATATAAGTGAGCAGTATTTAGATAAGGCTAAAGAGGTCTTTGTGACATTTATGGATTTGGAAAAGGCATATGACAGGGTGGATAGGGGGGCAATGTGGCAGATGTTGCAGGTGTATGGTGTAGGAGGTGTAGGAGGCAGTGAAGAGTTTTTACGAGGATAGTGAGGCTCAAGTTAGAGTATGTAGGAAAGAGGGAAATTATTTCCCAGTAAAAGTAGGCCTTAGACAAGGATGTGTGATGTCACCGTGGTTGTTTAATATATTTATAGATGGGGTTGTAAGAGAAGTAAATGCGAGGGTCTTGACAAGAGGCGTGGAGTTAAAAGATAAAGAATCACACATAAAGTGGGAGTTGTCACAGTTGCTCTTTGCTGATGACACTGTGCTCTTGGGAGATTCTGAAGAGAAGTTGCGGAGATTGGTGGATGAATTTGGTAGGGTGTGCAAAAGAAGAAAATTAAAAGTGAATACAGGAAAGAGTAAGGTTATGAGGATAACAAAAAGATTAGGTGATATCAGATTGGAAGGAGAGAGTATGGAGGAGGTGAATGTATTCAGATATTTGGGAGTGGATGTGTCAGCGGATGGGTCTATGAAGGATGAGGTGAATCATAGAATTGATGAGGGGAAAAGGGTGAGTGGTGCACTTAGGAGTCTGTGGAGACAAAGAACTTTGTCCTTGGAGGCAAAGAGGGGAATGTATGAGAGTATAGTTTTACCACCGCTCTTATATGGGTGTGAAGCATGGGTGATGAATGTTGCAGCGAGAAGGCTGGAGGCAGTGGAGATGTCATGTCTGAGGGCAATGTGTGGTGTGAACATAATGCAGAGAATTCTTAGTTTGGAAGTTAGGAGGAGGTGCGGGATTACCAAAACTGTTGTCCAGAGGGCTGAGGAAGGGTTGTTGAGGTGGTTCGGACATGTAGAGAGAATGGAGCGAAACAGAATGACTTCAAGAGTGTATCAGTTTGTAGTGGAAGGAAGGTGGGGTAGGGGTCGGCCTAGGAAAGGTTGGAGGGAGGGGGTAAAGGAGGTTTTGTGTGCGAGGGGCTTGGACTTCCAGCAGGCGTACGTGAGCGTGTTTGATAGGAGTGAATGGAGATGAATGGTTTTTAATACTTGACGTGCTGTTGGAGTGAGAGCAAAGTAACATTTATGAAGGGGTTCAGGGAAACCGGCAGGCGGGACTTGAGTCCTGGAGATGGGAAGTACAGTGCTTGCACTCTGAAGGAGGGGTGTTAATGTTGCAGTTTAAAAACTGTAGTGTAAAGCACTCTTCTGGCAAGACAGTGATGGATAAGATAAGATAAGATAAGATTTCGTTCGGATTTTTAACCCCGGAGGGTTAGCCACCCAGGATAACCCAAGAAAGTCAGTGCGTCATCGAGGACTGTCTAACTTATTTCCATTGGGGTCCTTAATCTTGTCCCCCAGGATGCGACCCACACCAGTCGACTAACACCCAGGTACCTATTTGCTGCTAGGTGAACAGGACAACAGGTGTAAGGAAACGTGTCGAAATGTTTCCACCCGCCGGGAATCGAACCCGGGCCCTCCGTGTGTGAAGCGGGAGCTGTAGCCACCAGGCCACCGCTGGAGTGAATGATGGTGAAAGTTTTTCTTTTTCGGGCCACCCTGCCTTGGTGGGAATCGGCCAGTGTGATAATAAAAAATAATAAAATTATGCCAGTTGCATCTGAGAGAATAAGCACTGAAGGAATAGATGGAGCAATGTTGAATGAACAGTTGTGGAAAGAAATGGAACCTAGGTAGTAGGTTGGTAGACAGCAACCACCCAGGGAGGTACTATCTTCCTGCCAAGTGAGTGTAAAACGAAAGCCTGTAATTGTTTTACATGATGGTAGGATTGCTGGTATCCATTTTTCTGTCTCATGAACATGCAAGGTTTCAGGTACATCTTGGTATTTCTACCTGCATTTAGGTCACACTACACATACATTTACAAGCATATATATACACACCCCTCTGGGTTTTCTTCTGTTTTCTTACTAGTTTTTGTTTATTTCCTCTTATCTCCATGGGGAAGTGGAACAGAATTCTTCCTCCATAAGCTATGCGTGTTGTAAGAGGCGACTAAAATGCCAGGAGCAAGGGGCTAGTAACCTCTTCTCCTGTATAAATTACTAAATTTAAAAAGAGAGACTTTCGTTTTTCTTTTTGGGCCACCCTGCCTTGGTGGGATAAGGCCGGTTTGTTGAAAGAAAGATTTTTAAATTTAAGAAAAAATCATTTAGAGTTAAAGTAGAATGTGACAGATGGGGTAATAGTGTTTATTCTATATCACTAATATTCTTTCAGTTTTATCAATTGAGCACATAAAACTTTCCATTTAGTTATATAAACTGTTATATACAGTGCACAGAAGTTGGTAATTTGGCCAGTTTTACACAAAATAAAAAAAGTCCAAAATATCTACTGTAATCATTCCAGGTACTAAAACATTTCCTCTCTTCATTTATCACATCCCTAGTAAAAATCCTTTCCCATCTTCAGAAACTCGGCAGAAAATAAAATACATGTATTTCCACTACTTTGAGGATGATTTACAGCTACTTGTGGCCTTGGGAACCAATGAACATCTTACATATTTCAGTAGTATGCCTTCCATTCTATCAAATGATACCAAGAACCAGTCAACAAAACCACAAAAATCAACCTATAAAACAGCTCAATCACTTTTTTTCTTAAGCCAAACACTAGGCCAGTTTTGCTTTTCCCATCATGGGGCAAGATTTTTTTTTTTATACTGTGCACACTCATTGCAAAGACCCACTCTCATATTTAAGCCAAAATTTACCACTCTCAGCATATCTGACTGAGGTGAGCTTGAGACAGATCTGTGTGAGGCACCATGGTGTAGATTTACATGACTGACAATGAAAGGTTTAAAGATATATGATGTCTGCTTATTTACAGATCTCTTAGATTAGAAAGGATTGTGGAGGAAGTGAATGTGTTTAGTTATTTGGAAACAGTGTAAGGATATTGAGTGCTGTGGTCCTTACAAATTTGAGTGGGTTATGTTACTAGAGGCAACATGAAACTGGAAATCGCAAATGTTACAGAATAAAGTTTGCATAATTTTATTTCAGATTTGGGCTCATTTTGTATTTGAGACGTATCCTGTTAATATTGACATTCATATGAAATAATGACAGGGGATGGAATAAGATAGATGGAAGAAGAGTGTGAAAGTGTTGAAAGGTAGGAATTTGAGCATCCTGCAAGCACGTGAGAACATTGTAGTTCAGGGGATGCAGATGGCTTTGGGGATTTGGTGTGCTGTTGGTATGAGAGAAGTATGGTGCCTGCTCTTCTGATATTAGGTGGGTAAGCTTTGGTTTTGGTCAATTCATTATGCCAGTCCACTCAGGAAGGAGTGAGTGTGAGAGAGAGAGTGGTGAAAATATTTCCTTGTGTCACCCTGCTTTAATGGGATATTACTGATGCTTTAAATACATTCATGTGTTAAAATGGTGTTTTTCTAGCTGTTCTAATTATATAAAAGGTATAAAATGCTATAAAGATAATCAGATATACTGTAAATGTAAAGATTTTGGGTGTTAATGTCTTAGATGTTGAGGTTGTGATGCATGCTGGCGTGCCAATAACATCAGCATTGTATTCTGTCATTGTGTTAATGTGTATGCAGTGACATGTCTGGTATTAGCATAAAGTATGTAAGTTTTGTCTGTACTCTTGCTTGTCCCTGCTTTTGAATATGCATAGTTTTTAAGACTGTGTGTACTTTTGACATGTACTATATGCTGTAAAATGAGGTGATGGCATAGTTACAGATGCTCCTGTTATGAAATAAATTTTCCATGATTTAGGAGTGTTTTGCCCAGGTTAGCTCTTTGAATGAAGTTTCTTATATTGCAATAGATGTAGATTTTTTTATTGTAGAGGACATTATTTCTCTGCTTATGTAAATTCCTAATTTTCAACATTTTGATTATTGTTATATTTCTGGGGAAGAGCTAAATTTGCACGGGCCATAGGCTTTGGGGAGTGGGTGGTAATCAGATTTGAAACAAGGAAGAGGAGGATATATCTAACTCCTTGGATGAAAAGTGTTTACCATCATTCAAGCATCCTTAAAAGGAGCAGTGTGCAGTATTTGTTGTAATAAAATATGCAATTCCAATTGTCAGTTTTTTCCTATTAGTTTGTTATAAACTTTGTAAGGAACAATGTAGTGAGTTTGGATTGGTCTAATATTAATTTTTTAGGTAACATTTTAAAATTATTTTTGTTACTACAATAGCAATCTAAATTTAATCAACTAATGATTTACAATCATTGTTTTATTAATTTTTTAATCCTTCGTGAAATCACTTTAGCTACAAATAGGTGCCCATATTACCTCATTTTACATTGTATATATTATCATTGATATTTCTTTGCATTTGATAAATTTTGTTAAATAACTAAGTTTTATATTTATACAGTATATGTATTTGCAGTAAACTAAATTTTTTGTGGGTATCTTTTACAGACTTTGACTCTGAAGAGATTCTCACATATGAAGACGTGGCGCTCTATTACCCAAGAGCAAACAGAAAACGACCCATTGTCCTCATTGGTCCCCCCAACATTGGGCGACATGAACTAAGACAAAAGCTCATGGAAGACAGGGATAGATTTGCTGCCGCCATTCCACGTATGTTAAATTTATCAATAGTGTTTTTCTATACACAGCATACCATTTCTTAATACATGTGTATTTAAGAGAGTAGGAAGTTAGTATCCCTCAATGATTTATTTTTTATTTTATTTTTTCACACTGGTCCTAACCTGCTTGTGAACCTTGGGTTAATAGGTATTTTTTCAGTATGCATAAATCATTTAGATATAGTACAGCCTCTCCTCACCAAGCGAGTATTCGTTACCGATGCCTCAGACTTACGATGGACTCTCTGACCCGTATTTTTACCTAAATGATGCATATTAGAGCTAATTTCCTCTGTTCTGTTTATTTCAGTATACAGTACACTACTGTATATTATAATCAAGGGGGAAGCACTAAACCCGGAGGATTATACAGCGCCTGGGGGTGGGATGTGGAAGGCATTCAGGCTTAATTCAGGGAACTGGAGCACAGATCCAGTTCTCTAAATCAAGAGCCCCTCACCAACATTACTACTGTATAAACATTTAAAAATATACCACAAATGTTATAAATGGTGCAAAGGTGACATTAAAACAATATCAAAGATGGTTGACACAAACCTACTATCATTATAGTAGGCTCCTTACTTAGTAACAAATTTGTTTAATGACGTGGTCTTAGGAATGGAACCTTGTCGATAAGTGAGGAGAGGTTGTGCTGAATTTTTGTTTTCACTGCCCTTATCTCTATTATATCATCTCTTTCACCCTCAAGTCTCACTTGACACTCATATTTCATGCCGTCATTCTCCACTAAAATTGGGTTTCACAGTTTACATGTTCTTCATTTAGCATTCACACATTCATGTTTACTTCCATACATATTAGTAGATTTAATTTTGTATTCAAATATACACTTCTCTGTTTCTTTATTCTTGCACATAACATTTATCACAATATTTGAAGTATGTACTATTACTAATGGATACCAGGACCTTACATATGACTCTCATAAAAATTCTAAAAGGAAGTCTCAGTCAATGTTCAGTATTCAATAAAGTAGATATAGGGAGCTTTGAACTGTAGGCGAGTATTCCTGACAAGTAATATGCTAATTGGTAGTAGGGATTATAAGTGTAAAAGTATTTTTTTTTTTTAACATTTAGTGAATGCGTGGGGAGTTTTGAATCAAGTGTGAGAGTAATGGTGGTTGGGGATTTCAATGCTAAAGTGGGTAAAAATGTTATGGAGGGAGTAGTAGGTAAATTTGGGGTGCCAGGGGTAAATGTAAATGGGGAGCCTTTAATTGAGCTATGTGTAGAAAGAGATTTGGTAATAAGTAATACATATTTTATGAAAAAGAGGATAAATAAATATACAAGGTATGATGTAGCACGTAATGAAAGTAGTTTATTAGATTATGTATTGGTGGATAAAAGGTTGATGGGTAGGCTCCAGGATGTACATGTTTATAGAGGGGCAACTGATATATCGGATCATTATTTAGTTGTAGCTACAGTTAGAGTAAGAGGTAGATGGGAAAAGAGGAGGGAGGTGAAAGTGTATAAACTAAGGGAGGAGGAAGTTCGGGTGAGATATAAGCGACTATTGGCAGAAAGGTGGGCTAGTGCAAAGATGAGTAGTGGGGGGTTGAAGAGGGTTGGAATAGTTTTAAAAATGCAGTATTAGAATGTGGGGCAGAAGTTTGTGGTTATAGGAGGGTGGGGGCAGGAGGAAAGAGGAGTGATTGGTGGAATGAGGAGAGAGAGTGATAAAGAGAAAAAGGTAGCTTATGAGAGGTTTTTACAAAGCAGAAGTGTTATAAGAAGAGCAGAGTATATGGAGAGTAAAAGAAAGGTTAAGAGAGTGGTGAGGAGTGCAAAAGGAGAGCAGATGATAGAGTGGGAGAGGCACTGTCAAGAAATTTTGATGAAAATAAGAAAAAATTTTGGAGTGAGATAAACAAGTTAAGAAAGCCTAGGGAAAGTATGGATTTGTCAGTTAAAAACAGAGTAGGGGAGTTAGTAGATGGGGAGATGGAGGTATTAGGTAGATGGCGAGAATATTTTGAGGAACTTTTAAATGTTAAGGAAGAAAGAGAGGCAGTAATTTCATGCACTGGTCAGGGAGGTATACCATCTTTTAGGAGTGAAGAAGAGCAGAATGTAAGTGTGGGGGAGGTACGTGAGCCATTACGTAGAATGAAAGTGGGTAAAACAGCTGGAACTGATGGGATCATGACAGAAATGTTAAAAGCAGGGGGGGATATAGTGTTGGAGTGGTTGGTACTTTTGTTTAATAAAATGTATGAAAGAGGGGAAGTACCTGGGATGGCGGAGAGCATGTATAGTCCCTTTATATAAAGGGAAAGGGGACAAAAGAGACTGAAAAATTATAGAGAATAGTTTACTGAGTTTATACCAGGAAAAGTGTACGTAGGGTTATAATTGAAAGAATTAGAGGTAAGACAGAATGTAGATTGCGGATGAGCAAGGAGGTTTCAGAGTGGGTAGGGGGATGTGTAGATCAAGTGTTTACATTGAAGCATATATGTGAACAGTATTTAAATAAAGGTAGGGAAGTTTTTTTTTGGATTTAGAAAAGGCTAGAATGACACAGGAGAATGGGCAGATGTCAGTATATGGAATAGGTGGAAATATTAAATGTTGTAAGAGGGGTTTGTATGAGGTACAGGCTCATTAGGGTGTAGAAAAGGTATACTACTTCCTTAAAAGTGGTTACAGGGATGTGTAGCCATGGTTTTTAATAATTAGGTTTTTTTTTGTAAAAGAATGTATTTTATTTCTGGGTGTTTGGGGAAGGGAGGATTAAATTTTCGGGAAAAAATTCAAATGGAAGGACAAATGCTTTTGGGTGATAGCTGTTATGGTGAGTTCTAAGAAAAATGCAAAGGTTAGGATGAGTTTATGAAAATGGGTTGAGTAAAAGAGAGGTGATAGGGTATCAAATGATTTAGTAAAGAATAAATTGGAATCAAATTGTGAGGAGGCTATGGAAGAAGTGAATGGTTTCAGATACTTGAGTGGGGGAGTAGGGATTAATTTATGAGATGAGTTAATCATAGAATTGGAGGGGAAAAGTGAATGATGGTTTGGAGGAGTAAAGAGGAATATAAAGAATTTCAAGATTATGGAGGATGAAGCAAGGTTGAAAGTATAGTAGAACGATCTTAATGGGTGTAAGCTACTGGTGGAAGAGGCAAGCGAGGGGAGAAGTTGGGGCAGTGGAGAAGTCCTGTTTAAGGGAATGTGTAGGAGTAAATATTAGAGAAATTCGGGGTGTAGGAGAATTAGGAAAGGTAGTAGAGTTAATAAAAGTATTAGTCGAGGGAAGAAGAGGGGTTGTAGAGTGTTTGGTCACTTTGAGAGAATGGATCAAAGTAAAGACATGGAAAGATTAGTAAATCTATATTAAGGAAAAGGGGGTGAATAGGTCCTCGAAGGGATGAAAGAGGGTGGTAAAGGAGGTTTTGGTGGACAAAGGGTTGGTGACTTCGAGTGCGTAGTGTTAGGAGGTGAATGGAGACGAATTGTACTTGGGCCTGCGATCTGAGGTGAAGGAGGGTAATATTTAGTGAAGGATTCAGGGAAGACGAGGTTAGTTTTATAGTCGGACTTGAGTCCTGGTAAGTGGGAAGTAACATGCTATTTAAAGGGGGTAGGGATTGGCATGGGGTGGAGGGATTGTGTATTTATATGTATGTTAAAGTGTTAATTCTGGCTCTGAAAAAGTGATACATGTTGGAGTGGTGAAGTGTTGAATGATGATGAAAGATTTTCTTTTGGGGATTTTCTTTCTTTTTTGGAGTTTCACCAATGCATTGGTGAAGGAGGGAAGATTGAGAAAAAAAAAATTAAAAATGAAAAATTAAGTTCTTTATAGAACAAGAAGAAATTTAGTGATAGGTATGTAGTGCAAAATTTATATTTGAACACACGTAGAAAATAATCAGAAATAAAACATTTTTTAGTACGCAACGGTACAATGTTTCGGTTCATAGTTCAAAACTGAAGCTTAAATGAATAAGTATTGAAATGGAAAATGTTTGATCTGAGTCTAAACAGTGATAGGAAGTGGTTTGGTAAAAGTGGTATTTTTCTTTTTGGGTTACCTGCCCGTGGGTGGGGCGGAAGTGTAAACATAGGAAAAATGAAAGGGGATACCTACGGTTATTGGATAATGATAGGAATGTTTTAATGAGGATGGGATAAAGTTTTGGAGTGGTTTGCAATTATTTAATAATGTATGGGAAAAGGGTAAGGTCCTAGGGATTGGCGAGAGCAGAAAAAGTTCCTTTGTAAAAGGCAAAGGGGAAAAAGAGGTGCAAAAAATTTTAGGGGGTAATCTGTTTAGTGTACTGGAAAGTGTATGGTAAGGTTTTAAATTAAAGATTAGAGTAAGACGGGAAAAAGGATAGCAGATGAACAAGGAGGCTTTAGGAAAGGTAGGGGGTGTGTGGACAGGTTTACAGTGAACTATAAGTGAAAAGTTTTTAGATAAAGGCTAAAGAGGCTTTGTGGATTTTTGGTTTTTGGGAAAAAGGGATATGACAGGGTGGGTAGGGGGGGGAATGTGGCAGGTTGCAAGGGTTGGGTAGGAGGTAGGTTATTGAAAGCAGTGAAGAGTTTTACGAGGATATGAGGGTCAAGTTAGAGTTGTAGGAAAGAAGGAAATTTTTCCATAAAGGGAGGGCCCTTTGACAAGGATGTGTGAGTCACCGTGGTTGTTTAATATATTTATAGTGGGGTTTTTAAAAGAAGTAAAGCGGGGTCTTGGCAAAGGCCCTGGGGTTAAAAGACAAAGAACACACACAAAGTGGGAGTTGTCAAGCGCTCTTGTGATGACACTGTGCTCTTGGGGATTCTGAGGAGTTGCAGAGTTGGGGGATGAATTTGGTAGGGTTGCAAAAGAAGAAAATTAAAGGGGAATACAGGAAAAAGTAAGGTTATGGGATAACAAAAAGTTAGGGATGAAAAATTGAATTCAATTGGAGGGAGGGTATGGAGGAGGTGAATGTATTTAGATATTTGGGAGTGGACGGGTCACGGATGGGCTATGAAAGATGAGGTGAATCATAAATTGAGAGGGGAAAAAAAGTGAGTGGTCCTTAGGAGTCTGTGGAGACAAAGAACTTTGTCCCCTTGGGGGCAAAGAGGGGAATGTAGAGAGTATAGTTTTACCAAAGCTCTTATTGGGGTGAAGCGGGGGTGATGAAAGTTCAGGAGGAGAAGGTGGAGGGAGTGGGAGATGTCTGTCTGGGGCAATGTGTGGTGGAATATAATGCAGGGAATTTGTAGTTTGGAAGTTAGGGGAGGTGCGGGATTACCAAAAAAAGTTGTCCGAGGGTGAGGAAGGGTTGTGAGGTGGTTGGACATGTAGGGAATGGAGCGAAACAGAATACTTCAAGAGGTATCTCTGTAGTGGGGAAAGGGAAAGGGGGGGTAGGGGTGGCAGGGAAGGGTTTGGGGGGAGGGGGTAAAAGGGGGTTTTGTTTTGCGAGGGGTTGGACTTCCCGCAGGCTGGTGACGTGTTTGAAGGAGTAATGGAGACAAAAGGTTTTTAATACTTTTCGTGCTGTTGGAGTTGAGCAAAATAAAATTTAGAAGGGATTCAGGGAAAAACCCGGGGGCCGGACTTGAGTCCGGAATGGGAAGTACGGGGCCCGCCTTGAAGGAGGGGGGGTTTAAGTTGCAGTTTTAAAAAATGTGTGTAAAGCACCCTTCGGGAAAACAGGATTAGTGAAAATGGTGAAAGTTTTTTTTTTGGGGGCCACCCGCCTTTGGGGGGAATCGGCCGGGTGTAATAAAATAAAAAAGTTTTTTATTGCATTTAGGATTTAGAAAAGGGTATATAGAGTGGATAGGGAGCAATGTGGCAGATGTTGCAAGTATTTGGAAAGGGGGTAAGTTATTAAAAAGCTGTAAAGGTTTTTAGAGGACGTGAGGCTCAGGTTAGGGGGTGAGAAAAGAGGGAGATACTTCCCGGTAAAAGTAGGTTTAACAGGGGTGTGTAATGCGCCCCTGGTTGTTTAATTTAAAATTTTTTTGAGGGGGTTGTAAAGGAAGTAAAAGAAGGGGGTTCGGGAGAGGGGTGGGATTAAAATTTTGGGGAAAAAAATTCAAAAAGGAATTGCAGTTACTTTTTGCGTGTACTGTGTTATGGGAGATTCTAAAGAAAAAAATTTCAAAGGTTAGTGGTGGTTTGGGGAATGTGTGTAAAGGTAGAAAGTTGAAAGTGAAAATAGAAAAGGTAGGTGATAAAGGGTATCAAAGATTAGATAAAAAAAAATTGGATAAAATTGTTGAGGAGTATGGAAGAAGTGAAAATTTTCAGATATTTTGGGGGTTGACGGTCCGGATGGATTTTAAGGTTTAGGTTAATCATAGAATTGATGAGGGAAAAAAAGGTTTATGGTGGTTTAGGTAATGTGGGGTCAAAACCGTTTTCATGGAGGAAAGAAAGGGAATGTGTGAAAGTAAATTAGTACCAACACTTATATGGGTGTGAAACTTTTTGGGGGGTAAATGCAGCAGCGAGGAGAAGGTTGGAGGCAGGATTTCCTGTTTAAAGGGGGAAAGTTGTGGTGTAAAATTATGCAGAAAATTCGGATTTTAGAAATTAGGAAAGGTGTGGATTTTTAAAAAAAGTATTAGTCGAGGGCAGAAGAGGGGGGTTGAGGTGATTTGGGCATTTTTAAAAGAATGGTCAAAGTAGAATGACATGGAAAGCATATAAAAATTATAGAGGGAAAGGGAAGGGGGGGAGGGGCGTCCTCGAAAAAGTTGGAGGAGGGGGGAAGGGGGTTTGTGGGCAAGGGCTTGGACTTCCAGCAAGCGGGCGGAGGGTGTTTTGATAGGAGTGAATGGGGACGAAGGACTTGGGGGCCCGACGATCTGTTTTTGGGGTGTGAGCAGGGAATATTTAGTGAAGGGATTCGGGGAAACCCGGGTTTTTTTCATAAGTCGGCTTGAGTCCTGGAAATGGAATTACAAGCCTGCACTTTTTAAAGGGGGGGTTTGGGATATTGGCGTTTGGGGGGGATATGTTGTTATCTTTATTGTGTATGCTTCTAAACTGTTTTTTTGAGCACCTCTGCAAAAACGTGATAAAGTGTGGTGTGGTGAAAGTGTTGAATGATGATAAAGATTTTCTTTTGGGGATTTTTTTTTTTTGGGCACCCTCCTCGGTGGGGGACGGCCGACTGTTGAAAAAAAAAATTTTTTTTTGAAAAATTAAGTTCTTCATAGAACATGAGAATGGGTTCATAGTGATAGATCATGTATGCAAAAATTTTTATATAGACACCGGGAAACTAACAGAAATTAAAAAAATTTTTATTTTGTACGCACTCGTGTTTCCCCTTTTTCGGGGGGTTCATAGGGTTTAAAAATGAAGCGTTAACACTAAAATACAGTGGACCCCCGCTTAACGATACTCCAAAAGCGACCAATTATGTAAATGATTTATGTAAGTCGTTTGTAGTTATGTTTGGGGGCGAAAGGACAAAACTATTCACAAATTCCTTATGGGAAAAAAAAATTTGGTCAGTATGGCACCTGAACAATACTGAATGAAAAAAATCGTTTAAAGGGGGTCCACTGTATATTATGATCTAAATGTTGTATCTAGTGCCTCTGCAAAGACAGTGATTTTGTATGAGTGATGGTAAAAGTGTTGAATGATGAATGTGTTTTCTTTCTTTTTGGGTTACCCTGCCTCGGTGGGAAGCGGCCGACGTGTTAAAAAAAAAAATGCATTATAGGATATCCTATTTTATTTACCTTCAAGCCTCACTATGATGTGGATTTTGAGTTAGACTATGACAAATATTCAGTTTGGTTTTGAAAAGAATATTCTCTTTCTGTTTTCTAATCAGTATTTTTGCTATTATTATTATACAGTTTTCTAATTCTTCATTTCTACTTATATTAAATCCTGAACTCTTTTTGCAGATACATCTCGCACACGAAGAGAAACAGAGTTGGATGGTCAGGATTATCATTTTATATCGCGGACACAGTTCGAGTCTGATATTCTTGCACGCAAGTTTGTTGAACACGGGGAGTATGAGAAAGCCTACTATGGGACCAGCCTAATGGCCATCAGAGCCGTTGTGAATTCTGGCAAAATTTGTGTCCTCAACCTTCACCCATTATCCCTCAAGATTCTCAAAAGTTCTGACCTCAAACCATTTGTGGTATTTGTTGCTCCTCCCTCCCTTGAGAAGCTCAGACAGAAGAAGCAGAGATTAGGAGAACCAGTCAAGGTTAGCTTCATTTACTGTTGCTCTAAATGAGAGTTTAGGTTATATTTTCTGTTTACAGTATTTGTACTAGTAAGTAGATTTTTTGTTACAACATTAGACCTTTTAAAGTAAAAACTACTGTGTGTAGGCAGGGGTGTTATCGTGATGGTAGAGTGTAAGAAATGAATTGCTAGATACTGATGTTGAGCTTAGATCATCCTGTGTCCCTCAATTTTAAAATTAATATTGTGTGGGTTGCATCTAATCTTTCGAAGTGATTAGATGTTTTCTAGTGTAGGGTGGTACTAATTACCTGTGATTCTGAATGTACAATGAAAATAAAAGGTCACCTTGCCCATTTTGAGCATGGGAAAATGCTAAACACATAGTCATAAAGATTTTGGGGAAATAGGAGATAATCAGGTTTGATCTGAGGAAGGGAAGAATAGGTAGAGCTTGAATCAAGAGCCTTCAACATCAATGCACTCTATTTGAATGGATCCTACTATCTTGATATTCATGTCTAATTATATATATATTTTTTTTTAAATATATAATAAGTAAACATGAATATTGTCTACTTATATTGGGTTTAAAATTTACCTTGATAATAATACCTGTATTAAATGTCTAATTATATAACGTGTATGTATCCTCTAGCAAGTAATGTTATTAATGTTACGAAATATGTGAAGGGTATATACACCAAGAGGTGTGTATACCTGAATCCCTATTTTAGGGATTTGTGGTGCTCAGATTACATGCAACCTTTTTGTCCTTTGTGTAGTTGATAAATTTTAAACCCAGTAAACTAATGATATAACATGTGATTGCATTGGAATCCCTGTACTGACAATGTCTTCTTTTCTAGGATGAGGAGCTGAAGGAGACCATAGAGAAGGCTCGGGAGATGGAAGAACAGTATGGTCATTATTTTGACCTGATCATCATCAATCAGGATGTAGATCGTGCCTATCACCAGTTGCTACACGAGATCAACATGTTGGAGAGAGAGCCTCAGTGGGTCCCTGCAACCTGGCTAGCACACGATCAGTGATGGGTATGCTAACATTTTGCCATCTGTAATATATTTGAATTTTATATTCCATATGAAGAAGGAGGGGTGTTAATGTTGTAGTGTAAAGCACCCTTCTGGCAAGACAGTGATGGAGTGAATGATGGTGAAAGTTTTTCTTTTTCGGGCCATCCTGCCTTGGTGGGAATCGGCCAGTGTGATAATAAATAAATAATAATGAAGAAGGTGCCTCTGTAAAGACAGTACTCGCCTAGTTGTGGTTGCAGGGGTCAAGTCACAGTTCCTGATTATGAGCAGCAGGGCATTTATTATTTTCAGTGGGACGTTCTAAAGTATTGGAGCAATTGGAATTGTACAAATACTGCACTCTTAAAAATATAACTGCCTTTCTTTGCTTATGAAATCCCCCAAAATGTTAACCTAGCTAATATTTAGCCTATGAGATGTAATTACAGCGGTCCTTGAGTTACGATATTAATCCATTCCAGAAGACACATCGTATCTCTAAACTACCGTAACCCAAACCCCAAAATACGTGGTTTTGTGGTAAATCGTTTCAAGGCCCTGGAAGTCCAACTTTTACTGAATCTTGGACTTTGAGAGTTGGTTTTGTGCAGGGCAAGGCAGAGATTGGTAAAGATATGTAGACCTAGCATTTAATACTTACACGTTATTGCTGCCGCCTGTGTCTGGCACACTGTCTCTGGGCTAAAGTCCACCCATGCATGCTGATCCATTCATTGTAAGCACATTGCATCTTGATTTTTTCATTGCAAATAAACTAAATTTCTTAATAAGGGTAAATTGTAATTCAAGGAACCACTGTTAGTCAAGAGGAAGCACTAAACTCAGGGGCCATACTGTGCCTGGAAGAATTCAGGTTCAATTCAGGAAAGTGGAGAATAGGTCCAATTGCTTTGATCAAGAGCCCATCACCCACATCAAAGAACCTCCCTTGAGGGTATATAAAAAGTTATTAAAATGAAGTTACAAAATCTGATATTTAATGTTTGAACATTTCAAATTTTATACAAGTTTTTCATGAGCATTAGGTAAAGTTTAACTGAAGTGCACTTAATGGCTATGCATAAATACAGTTGTTTTGAAATTGAATAAGAGCCTATTACAGGTGCTGTAGCATTCCTATGGTGCCAAAATGATGCCCCTGCGCTTCCCTCAAGCCAGAAGTGGACTCCTCCATGCTGCTTCCCTAATGGCAATATCTACAGTGGATGCCTCAAGAGAAACCAGATCCATGTAGTGACGAACATGGCAGTGTTAGTGTGATCAAGTTGACTGTGGCTTATGAAAGTGCATGGGTGTTTGTAACCTAAAGGTTGTGTTAAGAAATTACTTTTTTTGTGTTCACTCATCACAGTTGAAAATTCAGTTTTGTAAAGACTGATCAAGACTATTAAAACAATTGGAAAAAACTGTCATTGACAAAAATGAGCAGATTTGTGCTATAAACTTTCCCCAATCTGTGTGGACCTGCAAATTTAAGTAATGACATCTAGACCAAAGCTTCATTTACAAAAGGTGGGAAGTTTAAGCCCATTACAGCCAGAACAAGCAGTCTATGGAATATTTAATGTTTGCAAGATGGAGCTCTTGAACTAAAGTATTAAGCAGTCCACCTTTTGTCGAGGTGGCTCAAGTGTGTGTGATACTAGAATGAGTCTAGAAACACGTTATTTACCCTTGTAAAGAAGACTCCCTCATCCCTGCCTAATTTTCAGTGTCTTTTGTTATCTACATTTTCTATTACCTTTAATTTATGTACATAAAATTCTCTAAATTTTTTGAACATTTATATATCCATTATATCTATATCAAGATTTCAAAACATTTTTAATAAATGTCCCCTCAACAGTTTACAATATAGAATACCCATATATAAATGCATTTCAGTAAATTAACAATGTGTTAATGTCATACATATTAATAAGAATCATCATAAATGTATTTTATTATTACATTGCTGAAGTTATATACCACTCCCGTGATAAAAAAAAAAAATTGTTGCTCATATATTTTTTTTATGGTGTGCAATATGCAAACATTGATGTAATGAAATCTAAAATTAATATTCAATATTAAACATCTCTCCAGTCCCCTCCCATCCCCATCCTCCTTCCTGTAAGTGTGTGTAATGTACATAGAGGTGCCATATTATTACATCAAAGCTCTGATTCTGTTATTGACAGTGTTAAGCAGCAATAATACCTAAATACATCAACATTCTTATGGCTTTAGGAATTAGCTCTGCAAATTTATAACGTGATAATTTTTTTTTCATTCAGAGTATTGTTCATCATTTTTTCATTGTTTGGAAAGCATATAAAGTCTAACAATGACAACAAAAGCACAAGTTCCTGAAAAGTCAGGTTTGCAATATTTCCACATTACTTTAACATTCTGGAAAGCATACACTTAAACTTGTTTAACCAGTATTTCAGTGGTGTTTTTTCCTTGAATTTGTGTAATTCCTGTACATACTGTTAAAATCTTCCTATGTTTAATATGTTGTAAGTAGAAACGTATATGCCTCATTATAATACACCATTAAATAATTATGATTCCTAAAATAAATGTGTATACTAGTAATTTCAAAATATATATATTATTTAACCCTTGGAAATTAATTATACTTTTATAGCTGCAGAAGAGCAGATGATAGTGGGAGAGGCACCGTCAAGAAATTTTAATGAAAATCAGAAAATTTTTTGGAGAGTCAAACAAGTTAAGAAAGCCTAGGGAACGAATGGACATATCAGTTAAAAACAGAGTAGGGGAATTAGTAGATGGCGGGAATATTTTGAGGAACTTTTAAATGTCGACAAAGAAAGGGAGGCGGTAATTTCGTGCACTAGCCAGGTAGGTATACCATCTTTTAGGAGTGAAGAAGAACAGGATGTGAGTATGGGGGAGGTGCGTGAAGCATTATGTAGAATGAAAGGGGGTAAAGCAGCTGGGACTGACAGGATCATGACAAATGTTAAAAGCAGGGGGGTACAGTGTTGGAGTGGTTGGTATTTTTGTTTAATAAATGCATGAGAGGAAGGTACCTGGGGATTGGCAGAGAGCATGTCTAGTTCCTTTATATAAAGGAAAGGGGGACAAAAGAGATTGTAAAAATTATAGAGGAATTAGTTTACCGAGTATACCAGGAAAAGTGTACGGTAGGGTTATTATTGAAAGAATTAGAGGTAAGATTGCAGATGAGCAAGGTGGTGGTAGTGGGGAGAGGGGATGTGTATTATTATTATATTATAATAAAAAAGAAGCGCTAAGCCACAAGGGCTATACAGCGCTGCAGGGTAGGGAAGGAAGCAAGGGTATTGGATGGCAGAAGGGAGGAGGGATGATCAGTAGGTTACAGAAAACAGCGGGGCAGGGGATAGTACAGGGGTAGAGGGTAGCAAGAGTTTGAAGTAGAAAGGGCTGAAGGTATCAGAATTTGTGAAGTAAGTCGGTTGTTGTCAAAAAGTCAATGAGAGAGTCTGGATGAAAGGTGGGTCCATCAGCGAGAAGGGAAGGTAGAGAGAGAGCAGCAGAGCGAAGACGACGACGGAGGTAAATTCTGCGTGCTCGTTGATAAAGTGGGCAGTCCAACAGAATGTGGCTGACTGATAATGGAACTTGGCAATTCTCACAGAGAGGAGCAGGGCGCCTCTCCATTAGATATCCACGAGTAAGACGAGTATGGCCAATGCGAAGACGGGAGAGAGTAGTCTCCCAACCTCGACACTGGTGATAAGAAGACTGCCAGTAACCTATACTCGGTTTAATAGATTGAAGTTTGTTGCCGAGCATAGACCAACAGGTGTGAAGTTGGGAAGATATTGCAGCAAAATAGTCCGTAAATGGAATACCTCTACATGAAACTGGTAGGTCATGTACTGCTGACCGCACAGCAGTGTCTGCTTGTTCATTGCTCTGTACGTCAACATGACCAGGGACCCAACAAAAAACAATATCTTTATGCTTGGTAAAGATACGGCGTAGCCAAAGTTGGATACGGAGGACTAAGGGGTGAGGTGTATCAAATTTCTGTATAGCCTGTAAAGCACTAAGGGAGTCTGAGACAACCACAAATGATGACACAGGCATAGATGCAATACGGATAGTGTCTGTAAGGATGGCATACAATTCAGCAGTAAAAATACTAGCCGAAGATAGTAAATGCCCTTGTATGACGCTGTCCGGAAACACTGCTGCGAATCCTACGCCATCAGAAGACTTAGAGCCATCTGTGTACACAGCAATGGCATGAGAATGAGAGTGAAAGTGGTCAAGAAAAAGAGAGCGGGAAGCGACCGTAGACAGTTGGGCTTTCGAGCAAGGGAGAGAGAAAGAACAGACTCGAACAGCTGGAACTTCCCAGGGGTATGGGAAAAGTGAGATGTTACATGTACATAGAAAGGTGGTAATTGAAGAGAAGACAAGAGCGAATGAAGGCGAAGAGAGAAGGGACGGAGTAAACAGGGGCGACGAACAAATAAAGAATGTCTACTAATATCAGTGACCATTCTATAAATGGAAGGATTGCGGAGATCATGAGAGCGTACATAGTAGCGAAGGCAATGGGCATCACGGCGATCGGATAAGGATGGAACGTTCGCTTCTGCATAGAGGCTCTCGACAGGGGAAGAGCGAAAAGCACCAAGGCATAAACGTAATCCTTGGTGATGAATGGGGTTAAGGCTAGAGAGAGTAGCAGGAGATGCCGCTGAATAGATCTGGTCACCATAATCAAGTTTTGATAAGATAAGGGTGGAATGTAGGTGAAGGATGGGTTCGACGATCAGCTCCCATGAAAGATGAGCAAGGGTTTTAAGAAGGTTCAGCCGGCTGTGACAAGTTGCCTTCAGAGAGGTAATGTGAGGTTTCCAGGATAACCTACGATCAAAGAGTAGGCCAGAAACTTGACTGTATCACGTTCAGGGATACGGGAGCCATAGAGGTACAAAGGATGATCGGAGATGACAGAACGTCTAGTGAAAGTAATTTGGTGGGTTTTAGTGCTGGAAAATTTAAACCACGTGTGGTGGCCCAATTGGAAACACGGTCGACTGCATGCTGGAGAGAAACTGTAATAAGGTGACAGTCAGCGCTGCACAGGCAATAGCGAAGTCATCAAACATAGAGTGATGACCAAATATTTGATGGAAGACTAGAGGCCAAATCATTAATAGCAAGGAGAAAAAGTGTTGTGCTCAGAACACATCCCTGGGGGACACCTTCAGCTTGGATAAAGTCCGGGGAGAGCACATTATTAACCGAACACGGAAATGCTGTTAGTTAAAAAGTTCTTAAGGAAGGATGGTAGATTGCCTCGAAGGCCTAAGGAGTGGGCTTGGGCTAAAATATTACACCTCCAAGTTGTGTCATATGCCTTTTCAAGGTCAAAAAATATGGCAATAACCGAGTGGTTATTCGCAAAGGCATTACGAACATACGTATCCAAGCGTAGTAATGGGTCTATGGTAGAACGTCCCTTACGAAAGCCATATTGACGAGTGGAGAGACTGTTGTGTGTCTCTAAATACCACACTAAACGTCTATTTACTAGGTGTTCCATCACTTTGCAAACTGCACTGGTAAGAGCAATGGGACGATAGTGGGAGGTTTCATGTCCCGTAGTGCCTGGTTTGCGGAAAGGGAGAACAATGGCGGATTTCCACAGCTGTGGAAGAACTCCTTGTGACCAAATAAGATTGTAAAGGCGTAATAGGACTGCAAGGGCTGACTGATGTAAATGTTGTAGCATACGAATATGATTGTCGTCGGTCCCAGCTGCCGATGATCAGCAAGCTGAGAGTGTTGCCTCCAGTTCTTGAAGTGTAAAAGGCACATTATACTGTTCTTCTCTGAGAGAAGAAAAGTCAGGGTGCTAACTCTCTGGCAGATTTGAGGAAAGAAATGACGGGCATTAGATGGAAGTCCCTGGGGAAATACGGGCCGATGATTGCCAATTTATGGAACATCTAGTGGGTCTTTGGGTATATCAAGACACCCGGCAACCCGCAGAACAGGAGCCGGGTCAGGAGATATATTACCACTCAGTTTTCGTTTTTTTTTTCCAGACTGCACTCATAGAGGAAGCAGAGGTGATGGTGGAGACATAATCTCGCCAGCAAGTGCGTTTTTTGCGTCACGGATGACACGGCGAGCGATCGCACGCTTCTGCTTAAAATCAAGAACTCTCTCTGTGGTTCTATTGTACCCGGGACCTGCCCCATTGCAGCGCGTTTCAAACGTACTGCACGAGCACAAGCAGGAGACCACCAAGGCACGCATTTCTGAGAATGCCTGCCCGAAGTTTGGGGTATAGAATGAGAAGCTGCGGTTTAAAACGGAGGACGAGAAGAGGTGTAAAAGCTCATCGATGGAGGACGAAGAAGGAACCTCTCTAAAAACAGTTAGGTGTGAGTAAAGGTTCCAATTTGCCTGATCAAATTGCCAGCGTGGGATGCGAAGAGGTGGTGAATATGAAGGGGAAGTAAGAATGATTGGGAAATGATCGCTGTCATGTAAGTCCGGAAGAACAGACCAAGTGAAGTCTAATGCGGCGGAGGAAGAGCAGACCGAGAGATCGATGCAAGAGAGAGTATGAGTCGAGGATCAAAATGGGTGTGAGTACCTGTTTTAAAACATGGAGGGGGTGGGTGGCAAGAAAAGCCTCTAACTGAATGCACGGGAATCACAGTGAGACCCCCCCCCAGAGGAAATGGCGGGCATTAAAAAACACCAAGTAACAGAATCGGTGGTGGTAATGACGAAACAAGAAAGGCAATATCCGGAATAGATAATGCCCGAGAAGGAGAGAGATATAAAGAACAGAGCGTATACCACCAT